ATTTTGAGTCTTATAAACAAAGTTATAATTTTTAGAAGTTTTGGGCATAGTTATCGAACTACTATTGACCGAGGAGTTGACTTTTTTAATTAAGCTAATTTCTAAAATGTTCATATTTTTAATAAATACTATATTTTAATTAGATTTGAATGTCTTTTAGTTTACTCAATTTAGATTTTTTTAGAATTAGTAATAATTTTTCAAGTTTTAGTATTTAATGAATTATTATAAATTGCTTAATTAAGGGTATTTTAGGGATTTTCATTTAAATTAAGTCCAAACTTCTTAGAATCACCTATAAAGGTCATGAATGACCTAAGAAAGTATTTCTAAATATTTGGTAAATTTTTTGAATTTTAAATAGTTTTTAATTAAGTAATTATATTTAAGGGTAAATTTTTCTCAAAATTAAATTAGTGTTCATATTAAGATCTAATTAAGGGGATTTTAGCTTTCTTAGATTAAGAATTAAATTATGAAGATTTTGATTTATTATTAGCAATTTTTGGATTTAATTTGAATTTATTATGATTTTCTAAAGTTATTGGGGTTTAATTAAAGGGTTAAATTATTAGGCATCTTAAAGGGTCCTAATTTTTTTTTAGAAAATTATAAGGGGTTTACAATATAACTAAGTTTAAATATTTCACGTTTTATGTCATGTGGAGGTGCATCATAATCCCTAGATTTTTTTTAAAATTTTATAGACTGATCCTTAATTATTGTCCTTAAGATGTCACTAGATTGAATATGTTCAAATCAATTGTCAAAGACTAACTCTTGGGTAACATAAGAAAAATACAACAGATAATCACAATCCATGTTCTTAGAACTATGGGAGTCTAGATTAGGTGCTCGTGTTTCCTAAACATGTAGAATATTAAGTAATTGATTAATAAGATTAGTGAATAATTTGGACACAATATTACTCACTAATCATTTCTCATAAATTTTATTCATATGCTTCACCATGTTTATTTCAATAGGGATCTCACAAAATTAAAAGATTTAAAAATTCATACATAGTTTTAAAATACATATATATTAGTTTATATAAACATATAATTTTTAAAAAATAATTTAAAAATATTTTATTTGAGAGATCCAATGATCATCCAAAAGTAATTTAAAATAATTCAAAACTAAGTTTTTAATCTTAAAAATATTTAATATAATATCTAATTAAATAATAATTAAGTATTAAAGTAATTAAACAATAAAGAATGATTACAGAAAATTAAGTTTTAATCAATGAAATTAAATTTAAATATATATACTTAATTATCTAAAAAGTTTTTTAAAATAATTTAAAATATATAATGTAATTTAAAATAATTTAATTTTAATTTAAAGGTTATTAAATTATAAAAAATTGATATATTATATGTATTTTTTTAAATTTAAAAAATAATTTAAAATTATTATTTGAAGAAATCTAATTTAAAAATGGATTTAAAATTAATTTTAGAATTTAATATAGCGTTCGCGGTTTGGAACGGACAGTCCAGATCACGTCGAACAGAGAATAGAGCCGTGAGATTGAGATCCGCGATTGATTCAAATCGCATAAAGGCCAGATTACGACCATTAATCACAAGATCAATGATATTTATCTTCACCCATAGAACAAAATACGCAAGTCAAGCCCTAAAATAATATTTTTCCTCGTTCACTCGATAGGGTGAATCAAATCAAATGGAATTTTAAACGTAGGGTCTATGCATGAAGAGCATTTACGGGTGATCATTTTTGCAATCTAAAACAAGATATATGAAAGGTTATTTAACTCTAAGTGTTCTAGACTAAGGTTTAGGATTTTAACTAATCTAATAGATGGATTCGAGAGTTCTTGAACGTATTGCACTTGTAGATTGTCCATATTTCTTTTTGTAGAATAAATTATGTTTTGAAATGCACTAGATCAACAACAAATTGCTTATGAAGGAGTTTAGGCTCGATTTATCAGATATCTCACCACCGACGAGCTTTGATCGGTGGGTTTGGCTTGGGAGAGGTGGAGGGAGATTAGGGGAGCTCACGAAAAGGAATTCTCAGGCTTAGAGAGGCTTGTGAAGAAAAATAATGCAAGCTCTCTCTAATGAAGCCCTAAGATCCCTATTTATAGTCCTAACCCTTTGATGAACGACTATGATCGTTTCTAGGGTTAATTAGGAGGGAATTAAGCCTCCTTGGCCATGTTATGGGTCAAGGGATTGTTTGGAAGAGTTTAAATGCAAAGGGGGTGATGAATTTGATTTAAATATATCAAATTTGACCAAATTAGGCTTGTGTTGACCAAGCCAAGTGCTGACTAGGTCAACATGGTAAAACAAGTCAAAGTGGGTGAGGGATTGAGCAAAGGAGGATTTGGAATTTATTGAAACTTAAATAGAGGGAGTTTGGGCTAGTTTGGTCTACCTAGGTTGACCCAGGACTTAGGTATGAGCTTAACAGATTTAGTTTGACCCACTAAATCCAATGGACGTGGTCTTAGTATTTGACCAAGTCAACCCCCCATTGATCTAAGTTTTAGTGAAAATCAAGGTCAACAAACACATGGTCTATGCACATTCCACCACACCCTATAAAATTCTTAAAAAATAAATATAGTTTTTGTGAATAAAATCTAATAGCTTGTTTTAGTATTGGACTACTTTTTATTAAAGGTTTATCTCAGATTGATTGCATTAATCTTCATCATATTCATTCTAATATCAAGTCATCATCACATTCTCTAACTCCAGAAAATAATAAGTTATAGAACTTGTTAGCTTTGAAATGTCATGACACATTATTAGTGGACTCGCTGCGATGTGTTGAAAGAATACCAATGTTAAAACAAATATTGTTGAATGTTGTATATCACTTATTCTGGATTCTGTAAAGCTCATTCAACTAATCAATGCTGTGGAGGTCGCATTCATTGATCATTTCATCTCAGATTCTCTCGAACTCCTCATAATCACATTTGCTTAAACACCTATAAAAAGGTCTTTAATTTTGTTATTGCTATTAAGCACCACACTTGGACGACGTCATCTTGTTGATGTGTCATTGGCACAACCTATGACATGTCTCAGGTAATGTAATTTCTATTATCATAGTCATTGTCTGATCCTGATTCATAAATATTATAATAAGATATTTATCACCCATATTATTCATAAAAATATGTAAAATAACCATGCAAATGATTAAATTATTTCCTCCCATAAAAATGTCACTCCTAAAAGAGCATTTTGCTAATAACTATTAACTTCAATAAAGGGTGCGCATGATAAATTATATTTATTAAGCATATAACTAATATAAAAAATAATCACATTTCCAAATGAGTCATAATCTATTCTCTCCAACCCATCAACCCAAAAAAACTTTCAACAATTTATCATCCTCATCAGGTTGGACGTCCCTTGCAAACATATTGTTATCAACTAGTCGATCATTAAAAAGTTTAATTAGGAAATTGGTGTCCCTATTCTCAATCTTTACCTTTTATCTTTCTAAATGTAGTTATATACATCTGTCTTAAAGAATCCAACATTTTCTAAACCTCATACTTAATGAGCTAGCTAAGTAAATGCATCAATGATTCTTATCGCGACTTTTATCATTGATTGAAGATCAGATGCTTTCTTATAACTAATATTCATACATGATCTAAGCAGATGTTGATCTTCTGGCCTAGCTAATTCGTGATTGTGTCTCTCTATGCATTTTTGCACCGTATATACTCCATCTTTATCCACTAAAAACCTAATCATAGCGGGACACCTGATTATGATATTTGACTTTCGATATTTTGATTTGAAATTTAAGTCACCCTTCTTAAATCCAACTTTTGAATAGACAAAGTCCTTAAATCTCATTTTTCTTAAATAAGGCTAGTAACTGTGATGTTCTTTACGAACACTAAAACCAACATTATTAGCATAATGACAATACATCTCATATGTTTCATTCTTAGAGTTATAAACATCATGTACACAAGAGAAACTTATTTAACACTTGATTTAAACATGAAAAAAGACACCAACGATACATATCATCGGTACCCAGAGGTACATAACAGCGGTACCGAGCGGTACATATCGATATAGAAAGGTACAAAGCAGCGACACACATAAGCAATATTACACACAAAAAAAAAATCAAGTTAAGTTTTTATCTGGACTTGCGCACATATTCCAAACTTGCATGTGTATCTTAAAGAGATTTGAACAATACACCCTAAAAAAAAGCTCTAGATTTTCAAATGAAAAATAGTAAAATCTCTTTGAAGTATTAAATTTACCAACCGACTTATCTTCCATAGCTCACTGTGGTAATTCTTCCTGGACATTTTGCTTCTTTTGCATAATGCTTTCTATGTCCTTGCAATATTCGACGTCCTCCAAATTGATTTCTATCTTCATAGCCTATTTCTCTCTTTTCTTTCACAGCTTTCTTCTGAGGAGAAATCCTGTCCCAAGTGTTGAAAATAGTCTACCATCATAATAAATCCTAGATATTGACACATTTGTTTTCAATTTTCGTGTCTGGTCTGGGTCAAGTCATCGGGTCACACGAAAAGTTGGAAAAATGTGCTAAATAAAAATGGAGTCAATGGGCTATACGTGGAAATATTTTATTGGAGCTCGGACGTATGGTACATATTTCAAGATTTATGATAGTTAGGGATTTAAATGTGAATAAAATAATTATAAATTTAAAAATAAATGTATAATTAAAAATAAAAATTAATGTGTTATGAATTTAATAACATATTATATACAAAGTACTTATTAATTATTAATTACACTATTAATTATATACTTAATAATATATATATTTTAAGTTATATTAATTAAGCTAATTATATTAATATTAAGGATTTAAGCCGTAAATCCCTAAATTCGGGATTTATGAAATCCCGGGATTTAACGCGCGCACAAAAACCCTTTGGCTGGATTTAGCGTAAATTCGACTTAAATCCCAACATAAATCCGATACCAAACAGCCCCTTAGTGGTTGCTTCCTTTTCATATTACAGCTGTTGCTTATTTTCTGTAATATGTGCTAGTTTCTGGAATCTCAGCCCCGGTAAACAGTAACCCTAAATTTTATTTTTCTTACAGTTGGAAGGCGTGTAGATAAGGCTACATGCTTGAAGGTTAGTGCTAAGCTGTTAGTTAAGGCCTCTGTTTTGGATTTATTTAATATGATGTTTTGCTTGTGGTTCTATTGACGAACTGCTACCCTTTTATACCATCTCTGAATCGCATTTTTCAGTTTGTGCTAGTTTTTTTTTTTTTTTTTTTTTTTTTAATTTGAAGAAAGAGGGAGTTGAAGGCATCTTCCAATATCTTACTTTGCTGACTGTTTTTTTTTTTTTTTTTTTAATTTGAAGAAAGAGGGAGTTGAAGGCATCTTCCAATATCTTACTTTGCTGACTGGCCCTTTGCAAGGCCTATTATCCTTACTCTGCAAAATCATTTTCTTTAACCATATTTTCCTGAATCTCTCTTGAGTGAAGAGTAAGAAACTCAATAAGGAATAAAAATCAAAGTTGCCTCCCTATTTGTTTGATTGATAGCCAGCTATCAATAAGGTGTTTTGCTACTAGGGTTGCTTAGCAAAATATTTTCTTATGCAAAAATCTAAATATTATAAACTATATTATTCCTCAATAAAATATTCATTTTCTGGAATATCAAGATTCGAGAAAGATTAAGGAACAATGAAGATTTGCTTTTTCCATAACATGAAAGAAAATTACTTGATTGGTTTTTGTGCTCATCACTTATCAATCAACTTATTCGGGGTAACAAGAATATCAAACAACTTAGAAGTTAGAAAATGTATGATTTGCAAGATCTATTAATTTTATGGAGGGAAATAACTGATAAATTCCAAAACTAATGGTCACAATATTCATTAAATAGTTGAATTGGAAGTTTCTGAATTAGTTTGTCCTCGATGGATTTATTTTGAAGAAACTTATTTACAAATTGAACCATGATGTAGTGTTTGAAAAATTGATAGCACATAGAATGGTGTACAAATCCGTATTACAATGTTTTTTTGAATTTCTTAGCCATCTAATTTTAAATGAATTCAAATCCACTTAACGAGCTCCTAGCTCGCTGATCGTGAACAAAACAAGTAATAATTAGTCGAACTTGGGCAGAGAGATACCAAACATGAACAAACACAAAGCTAACACAAACAATGACAAAAAATAATGAATTGAACTTGACATACCTTCATTATTTATGTTTGGCTTATCCACACATCTACTTTGTCATAGTGTGGGAAGTGAGGGTTTAATGTTTACCTAATTATAGTGGATTCTAAGAGAAAAAAAGAGAGAAACGGTCAATTGGAATATATTGCAAGAAGGATGATATCACTTAAGGTAAAACTTATGGATTCCCTTTGTATGCAATCTTATTGGAAGCTTCAAGCTATTTTGCTGATAAATCATGTTCAGTGAGGTTCAAAGGGTAAGATATAGGCATATAGCAACTCAAATAACAAGATCATAATTTGTTCATTTAGCTTGAATGGTCTCGTCCCATTTTGAACAGAGGATGATTAGGTGACGTGCATCTTAGCTCATGCTTATGTTAAGTTGCTTAGAAATAGCCCCACGGAAGTACTTACCCCTAGGTCACATAAACTATCAGATGAATTGTGTTTTGTAACTCCAATGTAAATGCTACCTCTTTGAATCACAACATGTGCTCCTTTAATTTGTTGTTGTCATTTATAATGGAAACAAATATTGTAGTTGTTTATTTAGCTGTGTACAATGCAGCTTTTCTAATTTTGTAATTTGATATTTAAAAGCCAAGAGTAAACTTTAACCTTTTATATTCAAATTACTATTATGTGATTATATTTTAATTTTAATGGATAAAAGTGTAACCTCAGAGGCTTGGAGTTAAACGAAACTGAATTGAAGATAGGTTTTATAAATCTGAACCAAATATTATATTTGTTGAATGCTATGGTTTTAAAATTAAAACTATTTGGTCACTGAGCATGTAAGTTATACTTCTTCCACTTGAGAACAACTTGAAATGAAAATTTAGGTTATTTTTTATACATTTACAATCAATTGGAATGACCTATAAAGAAATGGTTGTTTAATTTAGATCTACATGTTGTGAAAGCTTTATTGATGTATGATGGTTAAGGGTTAGGATTTGTTAATGCAAATATTTTGCACTCGTATTTCATGCAAAAGAACTTGAAAATTCTCAAGCCACATGCCACCAATTAATTCAACAAGTTGCTCTCTTTAAATTTAAATAGTCAAAATTAGAATTATTATTAAAATGATTATGAAATGAATGAAATAGTCTAAGGAAAGCTTTGAGAATTTAGAACCACTTAAATCAGTGAGTAATTATAATTTAATTTTCATAAATTGAATTTGTGATTTAAGCAACTTTGGTTGAATTTAATTTTAAAAGAACAACGGAAGTATCAAAAAAAGAAAACTTTGGCCTTATATTGGTTTTCCTTGTATTGTATTTGAAGGAATCACACATTCAATTTGCACATACAATATTCAAATTAGATTACAAAAGTTAATTAAGCCAAACTGCCAAAGTTGTTCAATTACATGTTTAAATTATTTATTTATAGACTCCTCATTTTTTAATAAAATAGATATGGTTGACATATGATCAACCTAATCCAAATTTAAATTAAAAATCTAAAAAGTAGAATTTCAATTTTAAATTGAGACCCATCTATTTCAATTTAAAATAAAAAAAATAAAAATTAAATTTATCTGCTCTAATTTTGTGAAGATTCATCAGATTGCTACTATTACAGGAAGTAGATAATAGTGCATACATAGCATATATCACAACCTAATCAAATCTTCCTAGGAAAGAATTGTAGCTCCACAAAAATCTGCAACTCAACAGAAGTCATAGAGAGCAATAGAACAAATAGGAATTGAACTGTCTTATTGAGAAAAATCTAGTATCCATTATTCTAAATTCCACTAACTTGAGGAATGCCTCCATAGTTGAGAAAACATATTCAAATTCCTTGTTATAAATGCTTTCATTGCTGAAGGCAATTCAACTATCTTAAACCCGAAGTCATATTATTAATATTATAATTAACATAAATTTAATAAAAAATAAAACCATTTCAAATCATATGAATGAATCTAATTCTAGAAATAAAATACAGCCCTCTCTTAGCCTTCGTCACTAGCATTCTTTAAATTGTAGAAATAATAAATAAAATAAAAATAAACCTGGTAATGAAAAAAAGAAGCTATGCTCATAACATTGTATGATGTGATGCTTCCAATGAGAATAAACAGGAGAATTTCCATAAACTGTGTTGTGAAGTAGGATTTTTTGTCAGCTGTGCAATAGCATTTAAGCTATGGGTTTGCAGTCATTATCTTCTCTATTGAAAAGAATTTTGTTGTGACGTGAACAATTGAATGGAGAATTTGATATGTCAAAATTTCCATCACTTCTTAACTTTTGTGGCTTATATTTCTAGCTTGATAGAATTGAGATTCGTAATGAAAGATCAGTGGTACTATCAATTGAAGTATTGGCTTCTCAAACACAGTCATTTAGAATGGACCTTGTATTTTTGTCCTGGTGGCAAATTCATTTTTGGTGAGCTTATAAGGCCTTAAGCACTATGAACTTAAGAGATTTTAGCTTTTTATTTTTAGGCTTATATTTTTTTCTCTCTATTTTGTGATCCTTTGCATTTGAAACCAAATATATCAAACCTAATGTATTATTTATTACTTTGCAAATTTTAATAGTAATGGTTTAAGATGCATATTAGTTTGTGATGGTTTAAAAGATCGTAGTGGTAATCTTCTGCTTTATCACATAACTGCTTGCCATGAATTGAAGAAGAGCCACCTTGATGATTCTTTCCTAGTCTTTGAGATGACTGCATACTCTCCAAGAAGTGAGTCCTCTATTTAATCTTGTGGCGGCCATCCCATAGAGGATTAAAAACAAAAAGAATTTAGAAATGTTCCATTATTTTTCTTAGTTCTTTCATCCAGTGCTGCCCTATGGGATTTCTTATCTGTATCTTCTTTCACCTCCAATAACTGTTCTGAAAAGCTTATGTCATGGTTTTTGGATTCGCTGCTGAACTTGAAGGTTCAAAAGCATGCCTGTTCTTTGTTTACCTTTTCTTATGCAGTCATATTTGAAGTCGCTATTTCTACCATCTCTTTTATCTTGTTGCCCTCAAGTTTTTAAGCTCTCACTTATTGTTTACATTTAACCATTAATGTTTATAAAGTAATTCTTAGCTCCTATCACATCTTTTTTTTTTAGATTTTTTTCGTTATTCTTTTTTTTTTTTGGTTGAATGTTATTATGGAGAACTCTTTGTTTTGGATGTCAATGTATGTTTCTTGCTGGAATTAATCTTGGTGTTCTGTTGATACTTGTCTATTGATTGATCTATTATTATTGTTTTGCTTGATCAAGTTTGCCGAAGAGAACTTGTTCATTTTTTTGTTCTTTCAGATATATATTTTCTTAAATTTGCATTTGCAATATTTCTTTGCATCAGTCTTGGGGTTCTGAACATCACTGTTGCATCAAAAGGCCTGTTTCTTCTGCAACATAAATATATCGTTGATTAATGAATTTGGTGTCATGACAGGAATTTAATTTATCATGAGAGAGACTCTTAGTTAACTGATAGGAAATACTTGAGTTCGCAAGTAACCCTAAGGTAATAATTGAGTTTGCAAGCAATCCTAACCCAAACCAGTACAAATACAACAGCGAAACTGCTGTCCACAACAGGAAAACTGCAGGAAATAGGGAAAACAGCTAGAAAACACAAGTAGAAGGCTTGTATTTCACTAGAAGATGAATAAAATAGCAAGATACAATTGATCCTCAATTCGAGAGGAGGATCGATCTCTCCCAAATCTCTGACAATGCCAAGAGCCCAAAGAAAACCTAAATCTAAGAGATCTCAAATTTCAACCAAATTCAAGATGCCCAAACCGTAGGAAAAACATCTATTTAATGCATACAAATTAAAAGGAATTCCCTAAACAGTCCCTACATTCAAATTTCCCTCTCAAAACGCTAAAAAAAACTTCCTAAATGGCTCTACGGGGACGGACGGGCCGCTCGTTCTCCGCCAGAGGCGGATCTTCGCCGTTTTTGCGAATAGCCGGTCCCGTGCGGACCGGCTGGACCGGTCTAACATTAACAAACACGTTCTTTGCTACCATAGTTAATATACTTTGATTTAATGAACATGCTCCCTGCTATCCTATTTTGTTTGTGATATGGTCATACTAAATGGATTTTCTTGCTTTTATGTCAAATTTCTTCTGGCATCCTTTTTGCAGGCAAACACGTTTAGGTCTGTTGATTTGAAGCAACTGGAATAAAGGAAATGAAAATGGTAAAAACAATTGAGTTGGAGTTGGTTTTTTCGCCTTTTTTGGTTGAGGAGAAATTGAATGAAGAAAATTGTTTCTTAGTTTTTTGAGAAGAAATTTTGATTGTTTCTTAAGAGCAGTTATGTGAGTCTTATTGATGGTTTGATAAATTTTTCTACCAGAGTTAAAAAAGGAATTATCAATGAAAAAAGAAGCATTGATTGTATTTACTATAGATCCAATTACCTAAGAATTACATTAGAACCAAACAACTAACATGAAGTTGTGTTGTAAAATGAATTTACATTACTTCAAATTTCTTCAAACCAAACACAACTTTAGACTTTACTATTTCTGGAAGCTTGAATCCCTTGGAAATATTCTTATGTATGTATTACCTGACAAATTTCAAGCGTCTTCAAAGACCTATTCTTCTTTTTTATTTAGGTAGCAAGGCAATTGTGCTTTGAATTGGCTGGACTCATATAAGCCATTGATTTTGAAATATTAGATTATTACAGTTAGTTTTTAATCTTACCAACGTGGTCATTTATGTTTGAAAGACTACAAATGAAGTAAAATTTTACATAAGTTTAAACTCTTCTGTAATGAACATGATACTTCCAGGATCAAGATAGGGTTTGACTTTGAATTTGGCTTGATACATTGCTTTGTGTTAAAATTTTGATCAGCTAGTTGTGAAATCCTGATTCAGCTGATCTGTGTATTTTACTTTCTGGTAGTTATCAAGTTTTAAGCAAATGGTGATGAAAAATAATATTACATAAAAATCCTCTAATATTGATTAGAGAAGCAAAGTTAAGGTGAAGTAGCGGTAGTATCCTATCTATTTTTGTTATATGTGCTCTATCATGGCTTGTTAGAATTTTATTCGATTTTGTATTATGGCTTGTTTCATTCATTGGACGTGTCTATGATTTTGTTGAGTGGGTGTTATGGCATCATCAATTAGATTACTTTTTAATTTATTAGAAGCATTTGAATTCCTTGCCTTAGGTCAGTTCTTATTTCATATTACATTTTTTTAACTGCCATATGCTGGAACTGTTATGTAGGGCAAAGCAGAAGTTTAATTGATGGCTCCAATGGCTGATCCTAGAAATGGCAGCACAAAACCTCCAGCATCTGGATCTGCTGGTGCCTACACAATTGATGTTGGTAACTTCAGCAATCGGCTGAAAGTGTTCTATACTCACTGGCAGGAACATAAGGCTGATCTTTGGGGTGCTTCAGACTCTATTGCAATTGCAACACCCCCTCCTTCTGATGATATTCGATATCTAAAATCCTCAGCATTGCATATCTGGTTGTTTGGATATGAATTTCCAGAAACAATTATGGTTTTCATGAACAAGAATATCCATTTCTTATGCAGTCCGAAGAAGGCTGCTGTCCTGGAATCTGTAAAAAGATCTGCTAAAGATGCCGTTGATGCTGATGTTATAATTCATGTCAAGCAAAAAGGTGATGATGTATCTGCTTTGATCGATGGCTTATTAAATGCTATTCATTCTGAATCAGAAAAACCTATTATTGGTAGAATTCAAAGAGAAGAACCTGAAGGGAAGCTCTTGGAAAGCTGGGCGGAGAAATTGGCTAGTTCTAATGTACAGCTTTCTGACATCACGGCTGGGTTTTCTGAATTGTTTGCTATCAAGGATGCGTCTGAGCTTAACTGTGTGAGAAAGGCAGCATATCTAACTTCAATGGTGATGAAAAATTTTGTGGTTCCAAAGCTTGAGCAAACTATAGACGAGGAGAAGAAAGTATCGCATTCAGTTCTTATGGAAGAGACGGAGAAGGCAATTCACGACCCTGTTAAATTAAAGGTCAAGCTGAAGTCTGAAAATGTTGATATATGCTACCCGCCAATTCTTCAGAGTGGGGGAAAGTTTGATCTGAGGCCAAGCGCAGCATGCAATGATGATAATCTCTACTACGAATCGGCAAGTGTGATTTTATGTGCATTAGGGGCACGCTATGGCAGCTATAGCTCAAATATTGCAAGGACTTTTCTTATTGATGCCAATGCTAAACAGAGCAAAGCATATGAGGTTCTCCTCAAGGCCCATAATGCTGCGATCAATGCATTGAAGCCTGGGAACATGCTCAGTTCTGCTTACAAAGCTGCTGTCACAGTTGTTGAGAATGAGGCCCCTGAGCTTCTTCCAAATCTTTCCAGGACGGCAGGGACCGGGATTGGTCTTGAATTCCGTGAATCCGGATTGACCTTGAATGCAAGAAATGATCACATGGTGAGCCCTGGAATGGTTTTTAATGTTTGTCTTGGATTTCAGAACCTGCAATCCCAGACAAACAACCCAAAGACCGAAACATTCTCTCTGCTTTTGGCTGATACAATTATTGTTGTGAGTGAGAAACCTCCTGAAGTCTTGACTTCAATTTGTTCCAAGGCTGTGAAAGATATTGCTTATTCTTTCAATGAAGATGATGAAGAACAACCCAAAATGGAATCCGAGACCTCTATCGCTGAGTCTGTCTTATCCAAGGCGTCCTTGAGGTCAGATAAGCATGATATATCAAAGGAAGAGCTACGGAGGCAGCACCAAGCAGAACTTGCGAGGCAGAAGAATGAGGAAACAGCGAGGAGGCTGGCCGGCGGTGGGTCTGTTACTGGGAATGCTCGGGGACCTGTGAAAACATCAAGTGAGATGATGACCTACAAAAATGTCAGTGATTTGCCATATACCAAGGAATTTATGATCCAGGTGGATCAGAAGAATGAGGCTGTTCTTATCCCAATATTTGACTCTATTGTGCCTTTTCATGTGTCAACTATCAAGAGTGTTACTAGCAACCAAGATAACCGCACATCCACTGTTCGCATAATATTTAATGTTCCCGGGACCCCATTTGCACCTCATGATGCTAACACCGTCAAGCACCAAGGTGCTATATTTTTGAAAGAGGCAAATTTCCGTTCGAAGGACATGAGACATAGCAGTGAAGTTGTGCAGTTAATCAAGACCCTGAGGAGACAAGTAGTATCAAGGGAGTCCGAGAGAGCTGAGAGGGCTACCCTAGTTACTCAGGAGAAACTTCAACTTGCTGGTAACAGGATGAAACCAATAAGATTGCTGGATCTATCGATACGGCCTGCATTCCCCGGCCGTGGTAGAAAGCTCGCCGGAGCTTTGGAAGCTCATAGTAATGGTTTCCGTTATTCTACTTCTAAAATTGATGAACGAGTGGATATCATGTATGGAAACATAAAGCACGCCTTCTTTCAGCCTGCAGAGAGAGAGATGATAACGCTCCTGCATTTCCGCTTGCATAATCATATCATGGTGGGCAACAAGAAGACCTTAGATATTCAGTTTTATGTGGAGGTGATGGATGTGGTTCAGACACTTGGGGGTGGGAGAAGATCTGCCCTTGATCCTGATGAGATTGAGGAAGAGCAGCGGGAGAGGGATCGAAAAAACAAAATAAACCTGGAGTTCCATAACTTTGTTAATAAGGTGCATGATCAGTGGGGGCAACAACAATTCAGAGATCTGGATCTCGAGTTTGATCAGCCACTCAGAGAGCTTGGATTCCATGGCGTTCCTCATAAAGCTTCATCCTTCATTGTTCCATCCTCAAGCTGTTTGGTTGAACTGATTGAGACGCCACCTCTAGTGATTACTCTGAGTGAAATTGAAATTGTTAATTTGGAGAGGGTGGGCCTTGGGCAGAAGAGCTTTGACATGGCCATTGTGTTCAAGGATTTTAGTAAGGATGTATTCCGCATAGATTCAATTCCTTCATCTTCTCTTGACGGAGTGAAGGAATGGCTAGATACTACTGATATCAAGTACTACGAGAGCAGGTTAAACTTGAACTGGCGACCTATTCTGAAAACCATTACAGATGATCCTGAAAAGTTCATTGAAGATGGTGGGTGGGAGTTTCTCAATTTGGAAGCCAGTGATTCAGACTCAGACGCATCGCAGGAATCAGATCAAGGGTACGCACCCTCCGATGTGGATGTGGAATCTGAATCTGAAGATGAAGCTAGCGATAGCGAATCCCTCGTGGAGTCGGAGGATGATGGTGAGGATGATTCAGGGGAGGATTCTGAAGAGGACAAGGGGAAGACATGGGAGGAACTGGAGAAGGAGGCAACCAGAGCTGACAGGGAGCGAGGTGGCGAGTCTGACAGCGAAGAGGAGAGAAAATGGAGGAAGGCAAAAGCTCTAGGAAAATCACGCATTCCCGATAGAAGAGATTCAAAAGGTGCTCCTCCTAAGAGGGCAAAGCTTAGGTAATATGTTTAGAGTTCTTTGGATGTCTTTAGCTGTTCAGGTGATGCTATATTATATAGTTATCCTCTACTTTTTATTCCTTTAAGATAGTTTGTGGTTTTGCAGCTTTAGCCAGCTTTATTATTTACGGGCACATTATGTAATTTGCGTCAATCTTCTCCCCAACTTTGTTGTATGATCTTCATCAGAACTTCTGAAATCTGAACTGATTTTGTTATAATTACCCTTATTGTATGATCTTCATTCATGTTTGCAGTCATTTGAATATTTAATATTTATCATTTCCTCACAACTGACTTGGTTTTAGTAATTGCTGGACTGTTATAGAGCTTGCATTAGTGAATTGGTTGATTGTGAGCTTGTAAGATTGCAATATGAGAACCTTTTGATACTACTCGATTTGGAGGGGGAGAGAGAGAGAGAGAGAATGGTTGCTAAATTAGGGTTGAAGGGCTAGGTTGCTTCATCACCAAGGACACTAATGGCATGTGAGAGGTCATTGGCAAGTAGGGCAAGAATACACAACCCCTGATTCCATTATTCCATTATTCTTGCTGATATTGTACTCTTTCGATCGGTCTGTCACTCTTTCATTCTCCTTCTTGGTTACTCATGTATGACTACTGCAAGATCTATGACGAGCTCCAGGTAGTCGCTATCATCACTCGTGCTAACGAAACCCATGGTCACCGTCGGGCCCAACGGCTAGCATGCTCGACCTCCACCCTACTGACCTTGGCGCTACCTTAGCCATTAATCATTACTAGTTAGGCCATGGGTGCGTGTGCCGATCATCTTTACCACGAGTGTGGAGCTAATACATAGGCCTTCTAGGACTTCACGTGTATGCTTGGAGGCATTAATTTTCATCAACATACAAAAAATATAATGCTGCATTTAAAAACTAATAATAAGTTTTTAATGCTTAAAAATATATTGATTAGAAAAGTTGAGGCTAATAACCTCGTTAACCATATCGAGGGATCTCCTAGTAGGCCCTTTTTGACGACGAAGATGATCTATGGAAACTTGGGCTATACCCCTATATTGATGGTGTCCTTTGTAGTCATGACATGCACAATATTGTCATCATTATAATGTTATCATGGCTAAAGATGCATTAGTGTAGGATGTCATGAGACATGACACTATGAGGGCTAAAGAAGGAAATGATGCATTATGTGGCATATGCAGTGAGGAAGAATGTCCCACATAGTCTAACTAAATGTGTAGTATCACTATTATACTAAGCTTATGAAGACATGTGTTGTGTTCCTTAGAGATAGAGTGCTAAAGATGTTGAGCTGGAAGAGCATGAGGGTACTCACAAGTTAAGATTTTTTGTTATGACTTATGAATAAAGATGTAAGTGTTTATCTTTTTAATGATGTAGGAATGGAGAGAGAGAGAGAGTTGATGTGGAGTTGTATATAAGGTTTTAATATTTTTCTCATCCTTATTTTTGGTAGGGAGTTATTCATCCTACGTTACTAGATAGAGTTAGTGAGGACGGCTTTTATAAGTCCATTATACATACTCCCATTAAGCCTATCATAATTGAGATTTTAAAGAAAAAGTCAAATATCCATATTTTCTGATGAAAGTGTGATAGGAAATACTCCGACGTAATAGAGTGCATGAGAGATAGTGGATGTATAACCAATTGCAAGTCAATTAATTATATCCCATTAAGATAAATGAACCAGCTTTCTACTATTATTATAGAGTTAATATGTGATAAAATTAGACTAGGTAATAATCAAATAAGATTAGAGAATAATTAAATAATGTTAGAGAAAAAGTTGGATGCTCTAATCAATATTGTACATATTTTATTTACATAAGGTGTCTTAGGAGAGGAAGGAGAAGGAGAAGGATGAAGAGGTGGAGGAGGAGGAGGTGGGGAAGAAGTTAGAAGATTTCTATTATTATGGAGAGGAGGGGGAGATGGAGGAGGAGGAGATGGAGGCCATATGGGATGTAACTTCATCGCATGCCATGTTTCCCATCCATATGGAGGCTTAGGAGGAATGGGATGTTAAACACTATATATAATATAAAATATATATTAATTATATATATATATATATACTATATAATATATAATATAGATATATATAATCATAATAGTGTCACAATTAGTAAAAAAAGCACAATTATATTAAGTACAAGATATATTTGCTTAGGGATTTCACAAATCCAATGAAAAGAAGCACATTCACCTTGGCTCTCATCATTGACTACCAACAAACAACAAACAAGCTTTGTCACTAGTGGAGTCGAGCTACGATGGAATCCTTTTCACCGTTGTGTCCAGTTAAAAGTCAATTTCCTTAATCTAATAAATTAATATACATTTCAATAATTTTTTCTAACGCAAATCTTTTTAGGTTATCTCTCTACCTTTCTTAACAATAAGTCAAATTAATACCTTCACAAATTTCACTAACCGGTCACGGAAGGCCTTCCATGTAAATGGTGACCAAACCATCTAAGTCGACTCTCTCTAATCTTATCTTCTACTTGAGCTACTCCAACCTTTTCACGTATGCTCATTTTGTATCCTATCTCTAAGGGTAAAGCCACTCATCCACCTGAGCATCCTCATCTCTGCAACACTTAACTTAGTATTATGCTTCTCTTTTAATGGCCAACATTCGGCACCATAAAGCATTGCAGGTCTCACCACTATCTTATAGAATTTTCCCTTAAGTTTGAGGGGTACATTTCTATCACACAATAAGCCCGATGCATTCCTCCACTTCAACCATCCAACTTGAATTATGCTGATAATATCTCCATCAATTTCACCATCACTATGAACAATAGATCTAAGATATCTAAAACGTGTACTCTTATTAATGACATGATCACTCAAAGTCACAATCCCCTCACTAGGTCTATTGCTACTAAAATTACACTACATATATTCAGTTTTAGATCTACTCAAGAGAAAACCTTTAGACTCTCAAGTTGACCTTCATAATTCAAGTTTACCTTCAACTCCCTTTCTAGTCTTATCAACAAGAAGAATATCATCAACAAAAAGCATACACCAAGGTACATCCTCTTGCAAATGTCTAGTGACAACATCCATGACTAAAGCAAGACTTAAGGCTGATCCTTGATGTAATCCAATCGAATAGGAAAATACTTGGTCAAACCACTTTGTGTTTGAACACAAGTAATAGCTCATGCATACATATCTTTAATGATTTAAATATAAACATTATTAACTCATTTCTTTTCAAGAACTCTCCATAATACTTCTCTTGGAACTTTATCATATGCTTTCTCTAAATCAATAAATATCATATGTAGATCCTCCTTATTCTCTCTACATTTATCCATCAAACCTCTTATGGCTTCCATAGTAGACCTATTGGCATGAATCCAAATTGATTTTGAGAAACATTAGTATCACGCCGCAACCTACACTCCATAACTCGCTCCCATAGTTTTAAAGTATGACACATTAACTTAATTCCTCTATAATTCGCACACTATTCTGCATCGCCTTTTTAGTCTTAAAAATAGGAATTAACACACTCATTCTTCATTGATATGACATCTTTTTAGTCTTCAAAATAGTATTAAAAAAGTTAGTAAACCAAGAAATTCCTTTTATCTCCTAAGCATTTACACATCTCTTTTGGAATATCATCAGGTACAACAATTTTTCCACACTTCATTTTCTTTAAAGCCTCTGTATTGTGCCATATTAATTAGAAACAATTGCCTATCTTTAAAGCTTGGATATTTGGTGAGGTTGATAACTTTGAGAATGAGTTAGAAGTGTGCACTAAAAATACAGAGTGAATTAAATAGTTAAATACCCTAACAATATGGCTATAAAATAAGATAAGAAATATTTTACTATATTAAAAATCTGAAATTTATATTAACTTCAATTTCTACTTTTTTTTTTGCATTATATTGATTTTTTATGTTTCCTAATAAGGGAGCTAATATGGACCTATCTAAAGATCTATAAACAAAACATAATTATGTTGGATGAAATATTTGATTAGTGATGTAGAATAACAGTCGTAATATACAACAATACGAGGAATGAATCCTTCATGTGGCTCAAATATATTTGTTTATAACATCAGGATGAGGAAAAGTTTGAGAAGTCCGGACATAATTCATATATTTGCCAGTGAATTAAAATAAAGTTTATGAATGGCATGCAAGTTCTCAATGTGTCCAAAGGTTATGAAGCTATATGACTATGAACTCTCTTTCATCATGACATAGAATTTACATGTAATGAAAAATCCTTTCTGCAACAAGAATAATGTGTTTACACTTAGCCAAATATATATTCGACCATCTAATTGATCAATGTTTAATGATTTTGGATGAAAGGGTCGAACATAGGTTTGATTAAGGCTTCGTTTGGGATGGCTTTTTTATTGCTTTTCATTTTAGTACAAAAATAAAAAAATTTGCACTAAAATTCCGTTTTAAAAAGCAATAAAAAAGCCGTCCCAATTTGACTAATTTATAAGTTTTAAGAACAGTGTATCAATTTTATTTGAACTTTATTTGACGTTTATTCAATATTTATTCAAGCCAATATTGATCTGTGGCCAACAGTGAGAGCATTTTTTATTTTTTATTTTCTGAAGAAAACATCGGAGTATATTTTCTCATAAAATAAAACATCAGTTATATTTATTCAATTTCAAGTATTATGAGCCATGTAAACTCAAAATTATATATATTCCAAAAAATAATGATAATTATTATTTTTCTTATTTTTGAATTGGAACAAAAATATTATTAAATACATTTTGAATAAAGTATTTATCGGCATATGAACGAAGAACGATGAAGATATCATCTGCATGATTTTTATGAGGGCCCTCAACTAAAAAATAAAAATTATCATCCAATTAAGTGATGGATGTGAATTCTTTCTTTAAAAAATATTATTTAGTGATGTTTGTGAACTCTAAACACGCAATTTTTAATCCTCAACCAAATGATCTAATATGACTTGTTTAATTAACAATAATTTGGCAATGTTTGTTGTACTTATATGCCATCAAAAGAATTATCTTGATCGAGCATGAATCTCGATGTAAATATAAACTAAAAACATCTAAAATTAAATCTAGGATTATCCAAATTCTGATTTCAGTAAACTTATAGTCAAACCGAACGTTTCGAAGAGATAAACCCAACGAAATCAAAATCGGTCATATCCGAGCCCAAATGGGTCCAAATCAAAGGTCCGAAGTCTATTTGAAAGCTTCAGAATATTAATTGGACAATCAAATTACATCCAAATGTGACATGCTTATAGTTGAATCGAGCTGTTGTACGAGACGAATCCAACGAGCCCAAGATCATTGAATTCTGATATCATTATGACACTCAAATGCTCTATAAATGATCCAATATTGAGGGAGTTGATATGGGTTGTCAATTGAAACACTCCATACTTGCTCTTGATTTTCTCCCTCTTTACTAGCCATGTCACTCACAAAAAAACTATAAATAGACATTTTATTTTTCACATGAGGGCGAGAGTATGGGAGGAGGAGCAGAGCTATGAGGCTTCAAGAATTCTAGAACTCCACCACAACACCATCGCCAACGAATTTGTGCCGCTAGGCCGCCGCTGTTGTATTTCTGCCCAACCATCATTGTTAGACCTACATTTGATAGCCATTTATAGGTCTCTTTCCAACCACTATCGTCGACTACGGTTCACTCCGACCATCGTCATTGGACAATTTACTGTCCTTTCGATCACCATCGTCTGTCGACTACGATCCCTGGACCACTGTCACCCACCAATTATAGTCCCTCCGACCACCATCACCTGCCGACTACCGTCCCTCCTACCATTGTCTCCCATTGACTACAGTCCACTCGAACCACCATTTCCCGTCAACTATAGTCCACTCTGACCTCCGTCACACGCTTACTACAATCTCTCAGATCTCCGTCGCACGCTGACCTCCCTCAGACCAAATGCTGCAGTCCACTTCAAGATAACAAATTTTAAGAAGAAGCATGACCAAAATTTAAATTATCTAAAGGAGCATAGTTTTATAAAAAATTAAAAAGAGGCAAACCAGCCATTGAATTAGCCAAACTGTTTGACTAATTCTAAAAACGCAAACTATTTGACGCATTACATGAAAAATACCAAACAAGTTGGCTAATTCTATATACCCAAACATTTTGTATAAAATTAGTTGTATTTGAATATTTTGTGAATTTAATTGTAATATTATTGGTGTATTTGACTTAATTATTTAACTTGATGCTTATACATATTTTTGTTAAAAAATCACTAATTTTCATAATTTATCCATATTAAAATCATAATTAAAATTTATTTATAAAAAATATTTAATTATTAATTTATCTTTTATATTTAAAATAAAGGTATTTATATTTAAAAATAATAATTCATTAAAGATTAATTTGTATTTTATATTTAAAATAAATTTAAAATATAATTTAATTGTTAATTAATAATTTATGAGTAATTAAATATATATAACATTTTAGGACAAAATAAGCTGATTGAACGTTCATAAAATTATCTTTGCCAAAAAAATTTTGACGTAAAAATTACAAACAACATAAATTTTATAAAATGTCTTAATTCGGAAGTAACATTCTAATAATAATAAAAATATTGTATTGAAAATCACATTCAGATAGAGACAGTTTATATATTAAGAATTAGCCAAAATATACATAATTATTTTAAATTATTTATTCATTAATTTACAAGTATTTTAATTTAACAAAACATACAAATACAGCTAATTTTATACCAATTATTTGGGTATTAAGAATTAGCCAAACAATTTGGCTAATTCTGCATTTTTCTTGTATTGCGTCAAATAATTTGACGTTTTTAGAATCAGCCAAAAAGTTTAGCTAATTATATAAAATTGGTCAAATCATTTTGCTAGATTGACTCTTTTTTAATTTTTGTTAAAGTATGCTCCTTCCAATAATTTAAATTTTTGTCATGCTTCTTCTTAAAATTTTATCCTTTGAATATTTAAAAATAATAATTTATAAAAAAATAAATATATATAAAATATGTTAAATAAATATGCTTTTAAAATAAAGAGAAGGGAGCAAGGGACCAAACTCATAGCCTCGCCGATTGCGCATAGAGATTTCCAGAAGCCAGTTGAACGGGACCGTCGGATTACTCAACCCTTGCCGATCCGAACCTCCCCTGTAGCCCAATGATGTCATATCACCGTCGGCGATATTGATGGTGGCGGGACTACGGATTGGAGCCTCGTCGTCGCCTACGCAGCCGCAAGCAGTTTTTGCTGGAAGAAAAGCGATGGCGTGAGAGGGAATCGCCGTCGAAAGCTTTACTCTTCATCCCCGTGGATTGGTGAGAAGGGAGCTGCCCCTTTAATTCTTTCCTCTTGCTCCTAGCTCTGTCTTGCTCACTCTCCCATCGGCCGCCGTCGAGGAGTTTCTTTTCCGTCACTTTCACTAGTGGTGAAGTATAGTGCAGCGACTAGCCATATTTGAGTGTAAATCCCCTCTTATTTACTTCGCCATAATGCCAGTTTTTCTGATTTTTTAAAATTTTCTTTTCCTTTATTGTTTGATTGATGAAAAACATGGAAATTGATGTTGAAAAACCTATTCTAGTTAGTAATTCGTTTGTATTATGAGTGATTTTCTAATTCATGATGAAGCTGTTAAAATTTATCAATGTTCTTTGCCGATGTTCTGCTATGAATGGTACAGTGGTATAAATGTTATGTAATTTGTGATAAAAATTTATCTTGAAACATTTGGAATTTAACTAATTGTCTTTAAATATTTAAAAATAATGTTTTACTTAATAAATGCTAAAGTTGAATTTTTGTTGATCGTCTAAGAACAGGGCGTTCCAATTCATAAGGCTCTTGCCAATGCAGGTTGAGGGTTTAGTCTACATTGCTGTTTCATGATTCTGGTCATGATGGAGGCAATCTAACTATTTTTTAGGCTTGCTCTCTACTTTTAATTGATTTAAGGCTTCGTTTGAGACAACTTTCTTAACTGTTTTCTAGTTAAAAAGTTTCTTGAATTAAAGTTTTTATACTAGAAAGTTTTGTAGAAAGCAACAACTAAGCTGTCCCAAATGAAACCTCAACGTGCATTCATTTTTATTCTTGCATATAAATATGGTTGTCCAATAATTCCTAGGTTCCGAGGTTCTGCTATTCAATGATTTAGTTTTCAACAATAGTGAATCCAAAACTAAGATAACCTCCTTTAATCTTGATCTACCACTCAAAGCTAGCTCACTTAAGTTATTATTGATATATATATATATATATATATATATATTATAGGAATGGATGGTTATTATGTTGACCTCAACTAAAATTTTCCTTTCCATTTTCAAATTTTAGAAACCATAAAAATCACATTTTCAAATACTAAAGTTGCTATTACTGTATGTTGGGTATTTAGTGCCTATCCAATGACTAGCCTTAATTGAAAGCTCTCTCTCATTATCGGGAGGAGTAATTAATCGTTGGGGCTTGCGCCTATAAGAAACAAAACCTCAGATCATAAAGTCCTAGTAAAATAAGAGTGAAATATTTGAGTAGTGTCTTATCAAAAAATTCAATTTGTTTTCTGAAAATTTATCCTGGAATCTAATTTGTTAAAACTACCACTTTTAACAAAAAGGGCGTGGAGAGGCAAGGGCACGAATTTTTAGAGGCCAGAGGAATGTCCATAAACAATAGAAGCGGTTATGTGAAAATATATATGGTTAGAAAAATACCAACATAGGTTTAATAGCCCATTTATGTAAATATTGCTTTTATAGAAGTTTTGGTCCTTTCTACCGATTCAAACATGTAGTAAACAAATGAACATAAAAATAGAGAACATTACCAAAATTTATATAAAAAACTTATTTTGTTGTATGGACAAAGAGTTATTGTAGAGTTTCACAGATCATTTGACTATATTTAAAACATCTTTATTTATTTTGAAATTTATGAAAGATATGCCAAGTACCTGAGGGCTTTGGTTTATGTGCCACCCCTATTTTCTTTGGCATATGTATTTGATTTGAGACCTAATTGTTGCGGCATGAAGAATTTCTCGTACTCCATGTGTGGATATGGATTTAACTCTGCATTTCCTTGTGCCCAAAAAATTTAAATTTCTTTGTGCTCACCTTATTCCTAATAATAGCATTTAGGATATATATTCTATCCTTAAAAAAGATTTGCCAACTATTGTATTCAATTCTTAGTATAATGGTTCTCTATGAGAGTTTTATGCACAAAATTTGCATCCTGCATGATATTGTAGGCCAATTCGATCATCCATATCGTAAAAAGCATAATTTAACACCCTTTTAAGATGTATGATGTATCTCATGCTTCTTTGTCTATTTAGGTGCCAATGCATCTTGAGAAGCTTGTGAGGTCGATAATATTTCAGCCCTCTTTGGATGTATTATGGAGTTGAGAATTTGGTTTAATGTTTTGTTAATCATCTGTTTTATGAATGCTTTGTGTCCAGTAGTTCCTTTGAAATGCTGTATGCTGTGTTAAATATCATATATTTTAGTCTTATTTTGTTATTTTTTTGTAATTTGAATCAGCAAATCTGCAACTTTTTATCAGGGAAGGGAGCTTATTGTTGTATGGTCCTATCCCCGTTATAAGTCCTTTTTTCTTAAATTTATTTACAGTACTTACTCTTTATCTTATATATAGATGATAAGTGGACTTTAAGTTGTATTTTGTTGCTAAGTATATATTGATGGAGTAGCTAGTTTTACTTTATTGTATAGTATTGTATGAATACTTTTGGATTTTTTTATCTTTGAAGCTTGTCAAATGGAGGAGCAATTCATACTTCGCGTTCCACCATCAATAGCTGAACGCATAGAGCGCTTGTTGAATGAAAACCCATCCACTTCTGAAGATGGTTGCTTGGATCTGTCCTTCACAGGTATCTGGTTATTTGAGATATTTCGGAATCGAATGTGTTTTCATTATTTATATTTAATAACTATTTATTTTTGCTGTTGATAAGAATGTATAATCCCGTCCTTTAACTTTTATGCACTTAAGTAGATCTTCAAGCAACCTAGTTTAAGAATTCGACTTTTGGCTTACAAATCCAGAGTTTTAGTTCGCAGTAGTCAGTAGTCAGATTGAACCATCCTAGAGAAACTATTTATGAGCTTCTTCCCACTAGTTTCATGCACTCCCAATTTGTAGTTGAATAGATACCAGACAGATTAAAATGTTAAATTGATATGTTCTTACGTAGGAAGTATTTATTCTTATTTTAAGTGTTTGAATCCAATTTTATAATTCTCTATCATACCCATCAGGAGATGCATATTTTGGTTGAGGATAGTAAATCTCCAGAGTCAATAGGACCTCTTTAGCTGTGAAGAGTTGTTAGAGTGACTGAACATTCAGTTTACATTTATCATTTCTTTGTGATGATGGTTACCGTCTCTCCCCCTCTCCCTCTCTTTCACTCTCCTCTCTCCTAACCCACCACTTAAAACCCCCTCTTTTTTTCCTTTTTCTTTTAAAATGCTCTCATAAATTTTGCTAGCTGTGAACCTTTATCTGTTATGTTGCTAAGACCTATTTTGTGGCCATGATACCTGGAGCTGGTTCTACCTTCTTTTGATAGTGGAATTTGGTTTGGTTTATTTTTATTATGACAGGAAAAGTTCATGATTGAAAATTATTATTGCATTTAAACTTTTTCTTCTGGGAAAATACTTTGAAGAACTCCAGAGTAAAAGAATCATAAAAGTACGCATTTCTAGTTCTTGCAATGAAGAAAGATTATTGTATTCCTGCACAAATAGCCTAGGAAATGATCAGGATTTTTTGTGGGAAGTTGGATATCTTAGGGGTGTCAATTTGGGTCAACGGGTTGGGTTCGACCCGAACCCGACTTGACCCGACCTTAAACGGGTCAACCCGAACCCGACCTGTTTTTGCAAACGAGTCAGGTTTTTCAACCCGGACCCGGCCCGCGTATAAGATGCGAACAGGGAACCAAATGTTGCACTGTCGCGTGGCTGCCGCAGACGCGCGGTTAGTGCGACTCGGGCGAGGTCCGTGACCGCTAGGCCAGCACGGGGTGAGGCCTTCAGGTTAGCGCGTGGGTGGTGCGACTGGGTGACGTTCGCGACCGCGAGGACAAGTTGATCCTGCTTGACCTCGGGTGCGAGACCAGTCGCCAGTTTGCGGGATCGGCAAACCGCGGCTGTGAGTCGAGGCTGACTGCCCGAGGTATGCTGTTGCCGCATGCGGGTAGGTAGGAGTGCGGGGGGTCGGAGTCGGAGACACCCTATGCAGATGTGGGTGGCTACGCGGACGCGGGTCAAATCCGGGTATGCGGGTCAACCCGAACCCAACTCGATTTTAAAAATGGATTGAAATCTTGAACCCGAACTCGACCGGTATGGTAAACGGGTTGACCCGAACCATGATTTTTTCGGGTCGGGTCAAATTTTGACACCCCTAGGATATCTTATCATTTGAGTTATTAATTTATTCATTTTTCTTTCAAAAAAAAAGTTTCATCAAAATATTAACAAATATTTTATTCATATTTGTATAGTTTTCTTTATTCAATTCAACTAAGAGTTAGCCTGCTTTATAATCCCAATATCATGTGGTTATCTAATGCTTCTCTGTGGCTGGGTCCATGGCAGGTGCTTTTTTTTAATTCTTGAGTTGTTTGATGGAGAATTATGGAAAGAGCAAGGAGGGTCTATATATGATATAATTGATTTAGTGAAAGTATATGATTGTTCCTAGAGAAGTGCTCTGGAGAGCTCTACAAAAGAAAGTAGTTAATTATGCTTATTTTAAAGTTATTAAGGATATTTATGTAGGAGCTGTTACTCGTGTTCATGGATGTTTGATGTAAAACGAAATCAGAATTGCATGGAGACATAATAAAACAACTGAGTAAGTACGTCAATATAAAGATTAACGAGCCACAATTAATGATTTAAAGAGATCTCAGTTGCAGAATTGCTTAGGCATTGTTACAAGCTCATTAGGCAAAACAATTTAAAACAATAACAAACATGCGCCATATATATAGGCCTCAAAATGACAAAGGAAACGAAAGACTAAAATGCCCCTTGGGCTACAATAGATACCAGGTACCCATAAGGGAAAAAACGGAAAACTGAAAGAAATAAAATAAACTATTACATAAAAAGACTCGAAATAAAACTCCTGATCGAGGTCGTTGATCTCCGGCGTCTCCGATGGTACACGTGTCAAAATCGGTGACCATGTCCTCATCAATGTTCTTACTAGACATTCGCAAGAGGATGTTCCTTGGTGCATATTTTTTGCTTATGATATTCTTCTTCTTGATAAAACTGAGGGAGTTGATAAAAAACTTAAATTATGCCAGTCAACTTTAGAATCTAATGGTTTTCGTTTGAGCATATCTAAAACTAAATATACAGAGTATAATTTTAGTAATAATAGATCTAGTGGTGAGAATTTGACATTGCATGGGTGATCAAGTCATTAAAAAGAGTGTATGTTTTATATATCTTGAGTCTATTTTTCAAAACGATGGAAAATAGATGAGGATATTATTAGTAGAATTCAAATTAGATGGTTAAAGTGGAGGAATGCATTGGGCCTATTGTGTAATAAAAAACTACCCCTCACACTTAAGAGAAAATTTTATAACATGGTAGTGCAGAATTCTGGCCATTAAAAGAAAAGCAGATATAGAATGCTCAGATGGATGAGTGGCTTTACACTTGGATATAGAATGTGAAACAAGTGTATATGTGAAAGGGTCAAATTTAGCTTTGGCGGCGAATAAGATTAGAGAGTCTCACCTTAGATAGTTTGGTCACATAAAATGTTGGCCTTCTAATGACCCTATTAGTAGAGTAGATGTATTAGATTCGGCATATGTTAAGAAAGGTGAAGATAGACCTAGAAAGACTTGATTAGAAAGTATTAAAAATTATTTTTTATTAGATATAATTAAGAATTTGACTCTTAATAGGACACAATAGAGAAAAAGAATTTATGTGACTGAGGCTTGATGTTGTTGTTGTTGTTGTTGCTTTTATTTTTTATTTTTTTTATTTTTTTTTATTTTTGTTGTTGTTGTTGTTCTTATAATGGGTTGTTTTAGTTTTGTAATATCTTTCTTGTTGATTTTGTTATGGAGCAATAATTTTTCTTGAGCATGCAATATTTATTTAGCAAATTTTTTTTTTTTTTTGAAATTAGGTGTGCAAGTTATGCACAGTTTTATTTTTGTTTTGGTTGCTTTAGCACTTGTTCTTTGATCACATGGCTGTTCAACTATTATGCATGGGGATTTTTTTGAATTTAAAATTAGAAGTCGAATTGATTATTATCTTTGGGGATTAGATTTAAATTAAGTTGATATTGTGCCAACTTTATCTACAATTCTAGGATATGTGAAGTCTAAAAATAAATGTTTTGAGGTATTTAACCATTGTAACCTTTTTGGAGTTCAAGAAAATTTTTCTGAGTTATGTAATATAAGAACTATGGTTTCTTGATTTTGTTTTCTAGTTTTCAATTTTGTGAGTGCAAGTTGGATATTTGATTCCTATAAGTGGTATGAGTGTGATTAACTAAGTACGGGGAATTGATCTCTTTTTATCAATGTGAGTTCTATTTTTTTTTAATTTAATTTTGATTATTTGTTCTTGTTTTATTTTATCTACATAATTTGAAATTGGTTTGATTAGTGCTCCTAATTTTATTCTAATTTAGCACATAAAAATTTCAATTCGTATGTTATTTTATTTGATCTAATATGTTGTTGACCTTCTCATATTATTTAGTTATCATTTGAATTCTAATTCTAGTATTAACTATTTAAATTCAAATAATGTTGTTGAATTAATTGATGATTTGCAAACTATGAATCCTCTTAAAGTTCCTTTGCATGAATACATATTTTCATCTTATTAGTTTTATTACCTTAGGTCATAATTGTTACCATTTGAAATAAATTAGGAATAAAAATATTTAATTAATAATATAATTTAAACAAATTCATTTAAGTTGTGGTTCTAGTTAACAACATCCTATCATTAGATTCAAAATTACATTACTAAATATGATAAGAGACATGGTTTTGAAAATTTTCATGGCGGGTCAATGATTTGTAAGATTATTATTATTATTATTATTTTGAAAAATACAATTTATATGATTCCCAAAGCGTCAAATGTGCCAAATCAAAATTAGTGGGACATGTTCAATTATTCTGGTGAAGTGTTGCTATAAAGTCATCATGAGTTTATATGAAACAGACTTAGAACAATACTTGTCATTATAGGTATCAAGTATCATTTGCATGATTAATTTAAGGAATTATTATGCAAAGTTTATAGTTTTAACAAAACATTATTTTTCTTTGAATTATTTTGTTATAATTATAATTTCACTAAAGATCTACGTGAGAAACTATCGATGAAATAATTTACAATTCATCAGCAACCTTATAAGAGGCTTTATATATAGCTTTGAATTTGAGGTGTATTGCAATTATTCTAATAAGAGTAACACGCTTATGATTAAGTTTTCTTAAGAAAAATCAGTAAAAAGTCATTTATCTTTTTAAAAAGATGTCAATAGAAGAATCATATATGATTGAAGTTGATCTAGTTAAAGAAATGATGGTTTATGGATATTTGTGAGAGAATGTTTTAGATATAATAAATAATTTATAGTTGCAAATTAATCTACGTCTGATGAGTTTGAATCTAAATGAGCCTATACATTAGATCATGTTCATAAACTTGGAACTATGATTGATGAATAGTTTGAATTGAATTTTGAGAAAAAAATTGAGCATGAGATCATACGCAAACTTGAATTTCTAAGGAAAACTAAATTTATGTTTGAATGTGATATCGAACTAATCATATGTGATGTAGGTGATTAATCAAATGAGCACTTTGAAACTGCAACTTTGGATGGGTTATCTACTGATATTTTGTTTATAATCGATGACAATTATTTACTTTATTTTTGGTGTGTGACTTAGTGACATACAAACTGATAATATGATGAGAGCAAATGATGTTAATAAAAACTCAATCCATGTAGATAATTCGCCGGATGCATTATTTATCACAATTTATTTTCTAGTCATTTGAGGTATTGTTTTTAAAGTTTTTATTATTATTATTATTATTATTTTTATTTATTGTTTTTAAAGTTGTTCATCCATATTGGCAAATAATAATTGTGGTTTATCTTCTTGCAAATGCATTAGCTTTTCATTAGGTACAGATTAATTACATTAATATTAGCATTTTCATTTAATTACTACGGTTTTGTATAATTTGCAAGATTTATAAATTTGTATTAGGATTAGTAAATTGGCTACTGACTATGGAAATTAGTAGGCTTTCTATTGGCATGAACAAGAGATTTGTGAATTTAAACTTGGCGATAAAATCATGAAATGTTTAACTCCAGAAAAGCTTCCATAAGTAGCTTTTAATAAATTGAATGCAAGGAAAATAGAGCTATTTAAAATTTTGCAATGCATTGAAATTATTGCCTACAAATTAAAAATTTTGTAGCTTGGAGAATTAAGAAACAATCTTTTATCCGAAGGTCAGACACTAAATTTGAATTCAAAGAAATTGCCCAAGGTATATGCAAAGTTCTTTGGATTAAAATTATACTAAAAGATTAAGAATCAAATGGGAAGGATCTATGAGAATATACCATACAAATAAGCATGTTATCAGTTTTGTCTACAATTTAATACAATATGATCAAATCAAATAATTACAAGTGGATACAAATTTCATTCAAAAAATTGGAAAGTGGGTTAATTTGTACTTTGTATGTTCCTATAGGTAGTCAACTTTTCAGCATATTCACCAAAGGTCTTTGTAATCTTGCATTAAAAAATATTTTATGCAAATTTGGAATGATAGGTCTCTATTATTTATTTTGAGGGGAAGTGTTCATAATACAAAATCCTATGAATTGTGACTTGGCAGAAACAAGAAAGAAATCAATGGAATTGACTCGAGAAGAATGAAGAGATTGATTGCCCATTTATTAGTATTCCTATATGTGGCTAAAACAAGAAATGAAGGCTTGCTCCTATGGATTGGTGATTTGGAGGGTTATTTGGTGTTAAAATGAAATGTATGTAGTATTTACAAAAAATTTATTATGTGGGTCTGGCAATCATTCAATGTTACTATTTTTCTCCTTAAAAATTTTATAATTTCGTAATTGCTATAGATATTATTTGTGTATGAATACTAATGGGATGAATAAACAATCCAAGCTTTCTAGCCACTTCTTTTCTATAATTGTTATTGACTTGATTAATACTCTTAATTTTGTTCAAAATTTTCTCATTGAAAACTACAATTTACTTGTTAAATGTACTTGATGTTATATTCTTGCTGAATTTCCCTGATTATTTTGATTATTTTGGTAACTTATGATTTCTAATTCTAGTATTAATTGTTTATATGTAATAAATGTGAGTTGTTGAATTAATTGGTGCTTGTGAATTGTGAATCCTTAGGTTATATTTTGCTCAAATACATTGTTTATATTGCATTCAACAAATCACAAATACAAGTGTAGACAAAACAAAGAAAACATCAAGAGGCCAACCGGCTCCTAAGAACAATAGAACACAAAAAATAGTCTTCCTCAAGAATATTAAGCAATTCTTGAGGTACATACAAAGAATCTCCATCCTCTATCTTCCACAAAAATGTTCATCAATAGCACATTGAGCACAATAGTGAGCTGCTTTATTACATCTTCTCGGTCTAGGCACAAATACCACAGAATTGAACAATTTCACCCAATTGAATTGATCACTATCATGAACATTCTTCCACAAATTCCTCTGCATACATTCTGCATATTATAGTAGTTGCATCAAAGACTCTAATACTGAATCATCCTTCATCAAAATCTTCTCATAGTTAATATTTAACATTAGATCAATGCCCTATTTTCTTCAATATAAACGTAGGTGAGTAATAGGAAGCCTTTTTTCTCTAGATGATGGAAGGACTGGTACTTTTGCCATTGGCAATGAGACGTTTCCTGCCTCTCTCTTGGATCTTCCAGGCGTTGTGGAGTCTTATAAAACTTATGATGATACAGTACTAATCAAAACTGCTGATATTGGTCAGGTAGATAGTTACTTCCACTTCTTTTGCCTCTTTCAAGTGATCAAGTACAATTTTAGGGTTTATTTGCTCATTTTGCAGATAATCATGGTGAGGGAAGAAGGTGAACCTTCTCCTGAAGGAATAGAATACAGGCATGGTCTTACTCCTCCAATGAGGGATGCTCGTAGAAGACGGTTCCGTAGAGAACCAGATGTCAATGTATTCAAGAAGATCCTTAGTTTTTGTATTCTTTAGTATAATTTTCATCATAGATATGTCACATTATCTCCCTTTCTTTGTGCAGCCAGAGCTGGTACAACGGGTTGAGAAAGATCTTCTGAACATTATGTCTGGTGGGACAGTTGACAATATCCTTATATATTCTGCTTTTCATTTTATTTTCAAAATCTCTGTTGCAATCTAAAATAGGCCTAGAACTTTTAATGCTCTAATTGGTAGAACATGAAAAATAAAAATAGAGAAAAAGTGTGTGATCGAGAAATCCACTCATTCTCTATTCTATAATCTCACATTCTATCACTTGAGCAATCCTTCCCTATTTTTTTCTTGATTATTTCTACTGACTGTACAGTACCTTTTAATTATTCTGCATTTGCTTAACTCCTTGGCGCAAGATCACAAGCAGATGATGCAAATGTTGAGCGCAGGAAAACAGCTCAGGTTCCTGCGGTAAAACCAGATGTTGTTCCTACTGAAACTGTGGGAGGAGGAGGACCAGAAAGGAGTGATTCTGATGATTCAATGGAAAATGAGAATTAGGCTTTGTTTGGGACGAGTTTCTTTCTGCTTCTTAAAGCAGCTTTTTAGTACAAATTTTTTTTTTATTTTTGTATTAGAAAGATGATTTATGAAGCATTAAAAAAGCTGTCCCAAACGAAGCCTTAGGAAGCGAGCCTTTTCTGACGGTTGATATGGATGTTGTGCGTGTAGACCATGTAATCTGCTTCCATTTATTGCTGGATATCAAAAGCAGCAGAAGTTAAACCCCCCCTTACAGGTTTGCACTGAACAAAGCCTGAATTGTTTTCACATCTATATTATCATCGGATTTCAGTTAAGTTTATATTTGAACAACATTTCAATGAATGATTTATTTCAGTGCCATGGGCTGTATATGCCGCATTGTTATTTCAATCGAATGAATATGTTTCAAAACCCTATCTGTTAATTCGTAATACCAATTAGAATTGTGATAGGAAATACTTGTGTTTGTAATTAACCCTAAGGTAATACTTGAGTTCGCAAGCAATCCTAACCCAAATCGATATGCAAACAGCACTGAAACGGCTGTTTGTAGCAGGAAAAACAGCAAAAACCTGCTGTCTACAGCAGGAAATCAGCACAAACTAGGGAAAACCGTGAGAAGAATCGATGCAAGACTTGTATTTCACTAGAAGATGCAACAAAATAGAAAAGATACAATTGATCCTCAATTCGAGAGGAGGATCGATCTCTCCCAAATCTCTAGACGCCGCTAGAGCCCAAAGAAAACCTAAATCTAAGAGATCTCAAATTTCTGCCAAATTCAAGATACCCAAACCCTAAGAAAACCAACTATTTAAAGCATACAAAACAAAAGGAATTCCCTAAACAGTCCATACATTCAAATTTCTCTCTTAAACCACCCAAAAATCCTTCCCAAAACGCTATGTTTGAGCGGTCGGCCCGCCCGATCTCCGCAAGAGGCGAGATCCTGCCTATTCGCGAATTGCCGGTCCCGTGCGGACCGGCTGGACCGGTCCAGTGGACAGGTCTAACAAATTGCTGGTAGTTAGAATTAGCTTTATTAATACTGTAGTAAGCTCTCTTGCATTTGTGTACTATCTAGTCGTTTCAAGCTTTTATATAAATGTAATGAAGGTACCTCTATCATACCAATTTGTATGACAACAATTATTTGTTTTGAAAAAAAAAAAAAAAGAGAATTGGTTGGCTTATAATCAAATGTGTTCTGATTGCCTTCACTAAGAATTTGTTTGCACTCACGCACTTAGCTCACATGTTCTCAACCATCACTGCCATCAACCGGCCTCCACCACTCTCGTCTCACCAGTCGCTACCTCTCTTTATATTCAATACTCTTGTAAACAACTGTTAAGGAAATATGTCAATGTACCACAGTGCTTTCTTCAAGCTAACTATCTCTTCTTCCTTCTTTCCGGTAGCGTAGTAACTGTGCAGGCATCCTTTCATGGTATCAGAGCATTGAGCTTCACCGCCACAACTTCCAATGGGAGATCAGGCTTCTTCCTCGACAATCCCTCCTGCTTCCTCTCTGTCAGCCTCGATGGTGAACTTCAGTGTTCCGACACCATGAAAGTTCTTTATATCAAATCTTAAACTCATAGTCAATCTACAACTTAATACTGAGAATTATGTTATATGGAGCTTGCAAATTCTCAAACTATTTTTAGCCAACGGGTTTGAAGGTTATCTCACCGGAACCCAAACTTGTCCCAATGAACTCGCCTTCTGCCATGACGTCCGTTTGTGGAAGCTTATATATCAAAGCCTCATATCAGCCTTGTTCTCCACGATTTCACCTTATGTTCTCCCTTACATCCTTCATCTTTCCACCTCACATGAGATTTGACTTACCTTGGCAACACGCCTTCAAACCACGAACATATCCAAGGTCATCTAGCTGAAAAATGAACTCCATCACTTTCAAATGAGGGACAACACAATGAATCAATATCTTGCTCAAATCAAGACATTGGTCAACAATATTGCTGCCGTTGGCTCCCACGTCGACACTAAAGACATAATTCTTTGCATCATGAATGTACTTCCACTAACCTACAACTTGTTTAAAACATCCATTAGAACATCTCTCCTATCGATTAGTCTAGATGTTCTATATTCACTTCTATATAGCGAAGAAATCAACCTCTAGAACGAACTTTAGAAAGAAACAACTCCTTATGCAGACAACATTGCTCTCTGCTCCGCCCATACCAAGCAGCTCAAAGGCAAAACCAACTACTCTTATCGCAGTCGCGGTTCGTTCTCTAGATCATCTTCATTTAATCCTCGCCCTTCGCCTACAACAACCAACGTCCGTCCAACCCGCCAGATCTACGGCAAGCTCGATCAAACCGCCATGTTCTGCTGGCATCGTTGTAACCTCCAATACACAGCACCCTCATCCGACTTGTCTCGTGCCATGCTCACCCAACCACAACAATATCAAACAATTGAATGGGTCATAGATTCTAGAGCTTCAACACATCTCACATTCGACCCTTCTAACCTCTACCAATCCCAACCGTAGCTTGGGTCCAGCTCTGTTTCCATCGCCAACGGCAACTCTATGGCAATTCAGCATTAAGGCCAAGGTATCTTGCCACTCCCAAATATGCCCCGTAAGCTTATACTCCATAATCTCCTACATGTTCCTTCTCTCTCCTACAACTTACTGTCAATCCACTAATTAACGTCAGATAATCATTGGTCTATATCATTTGATGCAAACGACTTCACCATTCAAGATCTCACGGATCATGAAGTTCTACTTCATGTTCAAACCCGTGACGGTCTCTATTCCATCACCACCACCAGCAACAATTCCACCACAACGCTCCATTCAAACATCGCCTCCACAACTCTATGGTACGTTAGGCTGGGTCATCCCAATCATCACTATGCAACCTCTAGCACAATTAGTTCCATTTATATGTACTCCATCTAGTTCCTTTCTTTGCAAACCTTGTAAGTTGTAATATAACAAAAAGCCATTAGTTGCCCTTTCAATTAAATACAAATCATATTACCATTCCATTTGTTGTAATTCACTCGGACGTTTCGGGACTATCCCTGATTCCACCAATCAACGACTACAAATACTTTGTTATTTTCATTGATTCTTATTCTCGCTTTTGTTGGCTCTATCCCACCAATACCAAGAAAAGTTCTAAGTTCCAAATCACCGGATAAGGTAATGCTACTTCTTATGACCTTATAGTTTTTCATGAGTGGATATTTGCATGTTATTTTGCTAAATAAGTAATATTTTGGGGTAGACCATCCAAATGACATGTTTAACACACAAATTTTGCATGCATAATCGCAAACCTTGCATAATTGCAAAAATAGCACTCTTGTTTTGGGTAATTATTTGTAACAATTTAACATAGGTATAAAATTACTAAGGTGCTCTTTAGGATATTTTTTTTTTAGTTTCATTTTTTTTTCTTTTTTGTTTGGGATAACTGTCAAAATGACCCCCCGACTCTTTATGAACGTCTAAAATAGCTCCTAACTATGTAAAAGTCGCATTCTTATCTCTTGATTTTTTATTTTTTAAATAAGAACCTAAATCACGAAAAGATCTCGCTGAAAAACTAATATGTTCTCTATTTAGTATTTACGTAGTCATGCCTCACGGGACTAAATTGATACTTTTATATAATTCGGGACTATTTTGGGCATTTGGAAAAAGTTAGGGGACCAATTGGGTCATTTTATCTTTTTTTTTCTTTATATTTTAAATGAAATGAAAATATTTTTTATATCCTAAATAAGTATTGTTTTTTGTTTATATATTGCATAAGATGGAGATGGTGATACATGGTTGAAGCCGACAGCTGGTGTGATGGTGGTTTTCATTTAGAAATTTAATAAAGATAGAAAAAACTTAAATTTTGTTTTGAATATTTAAAAAATGACTTATTTTCTCAAAAAATATATAAAAAAAAACCAATAACAACTAAAAATGCATTCCTATCATATTTAAAAAAAAACCATAAAATAAAAACAAAAATTTATACCAACAGCCTCTAAGTATTTCTACTTTCAATTCTCAGACTTAAATTTAAAAAAAGTCAGCAAAAACAATAAATTTTTATTCTGAAAGATTTCCAAGATTTTTAATCATTTGATTATATTAAATGTAAATATATAAATTTGATAGTTATATATTTTAGTAATTCAATATTAATTTTTTAATAGAAAATTTTAATGGTACATATGTAAATATTTCTTGCAATAAACCCATTTTTTTCTCATTGATATGCATTTTTTTCATCTTCATCAATCCTACTCTAAGGCTTCGTTTGAGACAGCTTTCTTTATGCTTCTTAAAACGACTTCTTAGTATAAAAATAAAAAATTTTATACTGAAAAGCCGCTTTAAGAAGCAGTAAGAAAGAAGCCTCAGTCTTTATTTGGGACGGTTTTTTTACTATTTTTAGTAAAAAAATTATGCTAAAAAGTTACTTTAAAAAGTAATAAAAAAGTCGCCCCAGAAGAAGTCTAAATTTAAAAAATTGGGGTCCAATTGCTACAGTTTGTAGATAAACAACTGCAAGTAATAATTTTAGAAAGACCTATCAGTGTACTCCTTCAAGCAAGAATCCTGCTGGAATCCTAAGTTGTCCAAATCAAATGATTCAAATGGTACAAAATAATAAGTTAGAAGCCAAGAACTATACGGCTAAAGTTAACATGCAAGTAAATGCCAGCAGCTACTCTATCATTTAACAGATGGAGTTGATTATTTATTCTCATGCTGCATCAAAACCAAAGGAAATGAAGAAATTTATTAGTGAGCCAACCAATCAACCAACCTACTAATAGTTTTAAGTAAGTTTTGAGCCTTTATAAGAGTTGGGGTGTCTCGAATTTAGTTCAATCCGGATGATGATGATGATGATGATTTGTGAAGATTAAGGTTTCGGTTGAAACTACTTTCTTACTATTTTTTGAAGTTGTTTTTTAGTACAAAATTTTTAATTTTTATAGTAAAAAGTTGTTTTGAAAAGTAGCAAGAAAGTTGTCCCAAACGAAGCCTACGATAGGGCTGTTAAAACGGGTCGGGTACGGGTTGAGCCTGAGTTGACTCGGGTCTAAACAGATCAATATGAACCCGGCTCGTTTTTGCAAACGGGTCAAATATTTCAACTCAAACCAGACCTGTGCGGGTCAACGGGTTGACCCAACATGATCCGCATACTCGTTTAATTTAAAAAAAAAAGGCGATTGCGATGTCAGGCAAGGCGGTGTGGGGTTGTCGTTGAGCGTGAACAGGTCGAATTGACCAAAACTAGATTAGGCGCGGGTGTTTAGAGGACCAGACGACAGTATGCGAGTCAGAAGGACCAGACGGCGGATGCGAGTCATGCAACCAGATGGACTGGACGATAGAAAACCAGACAGACTGGGGTGCTGGATTGTGGACTAGACACCACCAGACAGACTGGACTAGACAAAGACGACCTAACGGACTGGACTAGACACTCACACACCAAACACGCTGACATGACACTCTTTTTGCATACAGGTCAAATCAGGTTGATTTTGAGTTTCCAGACCAACCCAAGCCCAGTCCAATTTTGCTTATGGCTCGAAAATTCGAACCCAAATCCAACCCGTATGTAAACAGGTTGACCCAAACTCCAAATTTTTCTTGTCCAATTTCAGGTCGTGTCAGATTTTGACACCCCTAGCCTAAGGTTTCATTTGAAACAACTTTTTTTATTGCTTTCTAAACCAGCTATCTAATACTAGAAATTTTTGTACTGAAACATTATTTTAAAAAGTTGTTTGAAACAAAACCCAAGATATAAATATTGAATAATGATCGTGTGAACACAATAGAGATTGAAAGTTATGTTAAGTCGGCATAGGGGAGGGAGGTGTAAATGAGCATAGGTGGTAGCAGTCACACTCTAATATACCACCATGAAAGGATTGGTGATTGTATGAGAGATTTAAGTACTTTTTATTGTGAAATAGAGGTAATCTACTACCTTCACATTCCATAATTTTTAGCTAAGGAGGAATTTTATTAGTATAGCATAGAGTTTTTTTCGAGCTATTGGAAGCAATAAAAAGAGGCCTTAGTCAAATAGAAGATGTTCTTAATGTTCAGCCTTGCTTGATGCAAAAAAATACATCATAGTTAACTATAGGCTTCACAAACACTTTATAAGAATATCTAATAACATCAAATCTTTTTCCCATTCCATGAGGTCAACTACTTGAATCATTTTTCTCCATTGTGTCATTTTAAATGTCAAATTCTCATTCAAATTAATAAAAAAAATATATCATTTTTAATATTTTCTAATCAAATATTTTTCGGCCCACGTCTACCTTACACAATAGACCTCCTTATGTATGCACAAAACTTATAACATTCATATGAGAAATTGATACTGCAACATCCCAAGACATACAAGTTCAATAACATCTCACAATCTATATCCCTTACAACATCAATATATATCTATTTTGTAATTATTCTGATTTGTGTGTGTATGAGAGAGGAGAGATTATTCTGTGCGGACGTCGAACGCAGCTCTACATCTGGATACCAATCATAATGAGCCATGTCAATGATACCGAGCCTCGGTACCGAGCTATACTAACACTTGGTACCGCAGGCTTAGGTATCCGGATGGGTTTCGCTTCCGCACAGAATAATTTTTCAGGAGGGAGAGAGAGAGCAAGGCCTATCCATGTGATTTTCAGTTCATGCATGCATACATGATATTCAGAACACTCACCAAAGCATTCATTAATGACTTTGTTATATTGGAAGCTGGTCTAGATCTAAATTTATATCCAATCTGGCGATGTTTCCTCACTGTCTCATTGACTCTGTTATATTGGAATTACTCACTCTATTCACATAGTACCTGGGCATTCATTTGTGCCTCGGATGGAACATAGGATTTACTGTGCAATGCCGACATTTATCAACTACAGCTTTTTTAGGCTCGGTTTGGGACGGCTTTCTTGTTGCTTTTTAGGATGATTTTTTATGCTAAAATTTTTAATTCAAAAAAGTTTTAAAAAGCAATAAAAAAGCTATCTCAAACTAAGCCTTAGTCTATCACGGTGTTTTGTAATTAATGATGTTTTTGACGTAGATAAATAAAATATGGAAATTTATCATGTTTAGAGATCAAAATAGTTGTAGTTGGGACGGCTTTTTTTTTCATATTAAATGGAGGTCTTTCGATGACTCGGTTAGAAAAGTTGAGGTATTAGATTTGACTTATATTAAGAAAGATAGAGGTAGGCCTAAAAAGACTTAGAAAATATTAGAAATGGTCTTTATTTATTAGATTTAAATGAGAATTTAACTTTTAACATGACATAATGACAAAAAAGAATTCATGTAACCGACCCCACGTAATGGAACAAAAACTTGATGTTATTGTTGTAGAGATCGAAATAGCTAATAAACTGATCAAAGCTTAGTTTTAATTCATGATTTTGCTTTGTTTTAGATAAGTTTTTATCCATCATATCTAAAAGCAGAAAGTTGTAGCAGAACTATACAATCATAAACTTTTAAAACTAATTATTGAATAGAATATGAGATCAAACATCAATTATAAGCCTTCTGTAACCCTAAACAAAGCTTAATTACCTATTTTGTTCTTCTAATGAACTTTCTTTATTAAATTTAAATAAAAATTTGATTCTTAACGGAACACAAAAGAGAAAAATGATTCATATAGTCGACCCCATGGAATGGGATAAAGATTTGATGATGTTGTTGTTGTGAACTTTTGAGACAATTAAAGCAAACTTACACACACTTCATATTCGCAAGCTTCGGATCAAAGGACTTTTGGTGGATAGCAAAAGCTACTAACCAAAAGATCACGATGAACTGCATCAAATTGATAAAGTAAATTAACTATATTTTTTGTGATGACTTGGATCAGGTTGAGTATTCTGTTGATGGCTGTCATCATGAAAAATTATTCTGTGCGGCGTTTGAACGTGTTCGGAGGCTACTCTGGACTCGCCCCATCACTCAGGACCTAATGCACCAGGTGACGTGGCGCGTCCGGATTCGCCTGCAAACGCGTTCAGACGTCGCACAGAATAATCTCTCGTCATCATGACTCAAACTAGCTTGAGAACAATGTTGAAAGATAAGGCAAATAAAATGTGATACTTCTAGTACCCAAAAGTTGCAATCTTTACCTATAAAAGATAGACATAATAACCATCAATTGATTTTGCAAATGACATAATGTGGAAGATTCCAACTGCTATAAATAATAGGACCCCTTCCCCTTTATTGTGACATTTTCTGCCAAAGTAGGTAAAAATTATTTTGTCCAGTAGCCACTTGATGTGATGATTAAAGAAGAAGAAGAGAGACTACAATGAATGATGCTGAAAATTACATTTCAGACTTCAATACTTAGCAATTAATGATCATGAGATGTCTCTCAAGTATGATAGCTCTGTATATATATATAATTCATATTAGAATTATGCAAAAAAATGATGTTGCATGAATTTAAAACTACGCACAAAATTTATTAAGGTTTTGTTTGAGACGACTTTTTTATTGCTTCTTAAAACAGATTTCTAATTTAAAAAAATAAGATTTTTATACTAAAAAGCTGCTTTAAGAAGTAATAAGAAAGCCGTCCCAAACGAAGCCGGAGTTTGTTTTATATCAAACGATCTATTATAGAAGCTATTTTAGGTTAAAATAACAAATGAAAAAAAAATTATGAAAGAATTATCTAAGCAATTTCAAGACAGAAGCATTGCAAATACAATAAAGCATAGAGCAAAAGCTAGAAAGTAGAGGCAAATTCAATTGAAACACTTGTAGCCCATTCATTAATCTCATAAAAATTTGAGTTTCTTTTACAAGAACTACAGCAACATAGTAATTAATCCACACACCACAACCAGATCACATTAAATCCAAAGTCTGGTTGATTTGGCAACTCCTAAACCACAACTTTGAATAAAAAACCTATCAACACTTACCTAAGAACTGCATACTAAGGGAGATGTAAATTCAATCAAAATGACAAAAATAGAACTGAAAGCTCAAATCTTAATAAGCAATTTGAGCTGTTTCAATCTGGCAGCAAAACTTTTTCATTTTTTTTGCCACCTGGGACTGAATCAAGAGGATGGTAGAATGCTAACAAACCAGAAGGATTCAAAACAACTCCAATCCATCTGGAATCAATTTTGAATTTTAACTAACCTATTTATCATTCCAAGTTAGTAAAATAAGAAACTAGGAATATAAACAATTTGGTGAAATACCTGTCCTAATTACCCATAGCTGCATCACACTTGCAGGTTCCATGAAAGCTGGTTAGTTATGTTAGGTTATTGCCTCTCGAAAGCTGAGGCCTTTGCTCGATCAGAGTTTGGCATAGCATTCTTCCCCCTCTGCGTTTGAGCAAGTTCAGGGTTTTCACTGACTGAGCTGCACTTCAGATCTGAAGGAGGAATGAAGCAATCCATGGAAAGACCAGGAACATTGAATGCCACCTCTTCAATGGTCCATGCTTCCTCCATCCTGGTCTTGGTGTGACTCATGGCCGCTTCGCCAAACTTGAAAAGAGTGACAACAGAGTGGCCTGAATGGGCAACCATAACACCCTCAACAGGTCGGTAGTCGTCGAGAAGGGAAGTAATGGTGGTCTCCCAGTACACTGCCTCACCTCCAGAACTTGATTGGATCCGTGTGAGGTGCGAATCCTCCATGTGGATAAGAAGCCCAGTTTTCTGGCTAAAATATCCAAACATTACATGCCTTATAATCTCTGCAGGTCCCTCGCTCCTAGCTTTCAAAGTCAGTGGATCAGCACAAAGCTTAAGAATGAAGCAATCCTCTCCATTAACTTTCTTCTCTCCAATACACTGCGCATTCGCAAACATGTTTGCGGTTGTCAGCGGATCAAGACCCTACAAAGAAAATTTTCAAATCAATCAAAACCAAACGCATCTCAGGGCTCATGACAACATGTTTTGAAAATGGTAAATTCAGTAGATTTGGACATTTGGATGGATGGATGTGAATTTTAAGGATGGATAAATGTAATTAGAAATCAAAATTGATTTCAAACAATAAAAATGTCTACAAATTCTCTCAAAAGTGATGATTTCATGTTCAAAAACAGATTACTTCGAATGATATCTACACTTCATAAAACATGTTTTCTACCCACAAACAACCAAATGAGCTATGCAAGGGAAATAAGAGAGAGTCCCACACAAATTCAATTAAGCCATACAAAGCTCCCCAACCATGAAAAATAAAAGAAATTGGTTCATTGTAAGAAGGCTCTGTAAATGACATGAATCAACTAAGAAATTATTGAAACAAGACAAATGAAGTTCTTTGACGAGTTACGAACTTGAAGTGCTCGACGAAGAGGGCGAACAGGGCCCTTGGCAGCATGAGCACCAAGCCAAGGGGTGTGTCGCCAAACTGTCTTTCCATTGCAGCCAGCATGGATCTTGCTGGCACCAACCGCAAGCTCAACATACCACATCTCAGGAGCCATCTGCCACAGCACAAAGCTACCAGACTCAGCATCTCTTGAAGAATTTCGATTCTTCATCACCTTGGTCGCAGTCTCAAACTCAGATGCCACCATCCTCATCTTCCCCATGGCATAAGAATTATGAATTGTGCTCAGAAGCTTAATACCACCAGAAGCTGCAGTGTACTGCTGCAGTATATATTGAGCAGAAGAAGTTTCCTGCAACAACATCAAGTAAAAGAAAACATAAATTGGTGAAACATAACAAAGTAAGAATAATCATTCCTAAAACATGACTAGCGGATTCTATGAGAACATGAAAGCTATCAAGCACAAATGGTGGGTTTGATTTTCACAAAGGAAAAGCACCAATCTGAACACTTAAAATATTCTCAAAAGTAAGTTATTTTCCTGCAAGGAGATAACATGAAACAGTCTAAAGTTACTGCATACGAGAATAACATGAATGTTGTCAAGAACAAAGGGTGAATTTGATTTCTACAAAGAGAAAAAAATCATCATATCACAAAATCTTCGCGAAATTGGGTTTTATATTACCATAACCTTACAGTTGCATTCAAAATTCAATACAGAAGAGGCCATTACTAGAATTACATAAAAAAATGAATATCAAATGCACCTAAAACAAACTAGTAGCATTAAAAATCCCAAACAAATACGACCATTATTATAACAACATCAAATAAATACCAAAACCCCTTAAACAAATAAACTCAGTCCCACAAAAGCATTTCCAAAACTAGAATATAGAATCATAACGAATTCCAAAATGCTCATCGAATAAATCTTCCGACCACCGAACAACCCTAGTAACCAAAAACCCGATTCCGATAAAAAGATACATAAAAAGCAACCATAGCTTATTCCCTTTTTCCAGCGTTCCAACGACACTCACTATGGGTGTATCCTTGATGCTCAAATGAGGGAGAGGCTCGCCGGCACAGACGTGAACCGGCGCGAGAGGCGCCCCCATGACGCCGAGCAGCAGCCGGAGGTCCGACCGACGGTGGCCTCCGGCCACCGCCGGCGCTCTCGCAAGCTGCGCCCATACCCACTCGCCCCACCCATCCTTCTTGCACTCCCCACCTCCGCCATCACCGGGATCCGGCCCTTCCAAGAGCGGCGCAAGTGCTTCACCACCAGATCTCGCCACCGGAGGCGGCTCCGTCCAGTTCCTCCGCCGCGGCATTGTCGTGTTTTTTGACCTCAACCTCGCCGGCGAAAACTCTCGCAGCGCCGAGAAGAATCCCTGCCTCCTCTCCATCTCCTCAGAGCTCCCGTTACCGAGAAGAACTTACAGTGAGAATTTAGAAGAAGACCCCCAGCATGGGTACATCTGCAAATGTTTTTTCTTGGGAAGGTCCGCAGCGTAAATTTCACGTAGCGCGCAAGTAGAGAGAGAATAGATAGGCACTAGGCAGAAACGTAATAAAAAAATAGGAAATAAAGCCCTTGTATTTGGCCCGCTTCGGTATTTTCCGGAAAAGCAGGGGGGTAAGCACAAAAAGTTGCAGGAGATTGAAGCCGAAAAAGGCGATGCGAGCGAGTCGAGGTTAAAAAGGACACGCGGTCGCCTCACCTCAGGAGTAAGCTTACCACTTGACGCGTGGTAAAGTTCTAAGTTAGAGGAGTCGTGGAGCCGACTTTAGTCATAAAAATTCAATTTATTTATTTATAAATATATATAATAATTATTATTTTGTTTTTAATAGAATCTTGTAATCATAAAATGAAAAAAAAAAAATTTAATTCGAGTATTATATAAGTTTTCCAAAAATAATTTTTTCCCAAAAAAAAAAAAAATATTATCATAAAGCTTTATAAACATATTGAGAAATTTTCAAAAAGAGGTTGACTTCAATCTTAAAAAAAATATTAGTTGGGGTGAGAATTAAATATATTTTAATTACATGGAATATTATAAAAGTTTATAATATTAGAATGGAGGTGAGAATTAAGATAATTTTATAATATTACAGAATATTATTAAAAATTTTATATATATTTAGGGGGTGAGAAATTTAAATAATTTATAATATACATGAATAATATTGCACTGTTTTTTTCATTTGCCTCATCAAGATGTTGGCGCACAATTTGATTATAATTTCCTTAAAAAATAAATTTCAAATGATCCCAAAATTGATTTCAATATGTTTAATATAAATACTTTTGGAATAGCCTTTTAAAAAAGAAAACAAAAATGTTAACTATGCACTTAAATGCTTACCTAAAGCTCCAAAAAAATAAAGGAAGAAGAGCCAATTGCTCATTATTTTTGTACTTTTGCTAACCATAATTTTACTTAAAAAGATAAATATTCATCCACTACTAAAATTCTTAAAAATAAAATTCAGTAAAAAAGTATTAAAAAATTTTACCTTTTTTTACTTAATTAGTGAGTTAAACATAATAAAGAATTTTTTTTTGAAATCACTAAATATAATTATGAATATTAACTAAGATTCATTGAGCAATTTTCTTATGCTTTTTATAACAATTTTAAGTATAAACTTTGTTGTGTCCTGGAATATCTCGCGGCGGTAGAGAAATTTAGTAGTTTAACGTTTCTTAGCATGTACGAAATCCAGCACACAATCAGATAAGAGAGGGCTGGTTGAACAGTTCATAAGAACACCAGAGTTTTTACGTGGGAAACCTCTGAAAAGGGGCGAAATAAAACCACGGGGCCTGAGCCTAGTTTGAATGAATCCCACTAGTATTTGCAATCGATTACCAAATGAGGCCCTTCCTGTGGAGAAGGCCTTGTATTGATGTAGCAAATATACATCAATAGATTGCATTACATTGTAGGAGTTTACTTATATCATGTTAGTTGGTTCGGTAAGAATCATAGTCGGCAGGAGACCGGGTCAGAAAGACCGTTGTCTGGTGAATGGAGGTCGGGACAGGGACCGCAAGTAGGTTGACGGAGGTCGGAAGGACCGTAGTCGGCAGGGACGGGGTCAGAAAGGACCGTTGTCTGGTGAGTAGAGGTCAGACGAAAACGGAGTAGGCGACGGAGTCGAAAGGACCATAGTCGGCAGTATTATGGGAGAACTATGGGCATCATGTGGTGGCCTGGTGGAGCTCAAAGCCTCAAGTAGTGGTCCGGTGGAAGTCTGAGCCTCATGTGATTTTTTGGTGGAGCACACGGCCTTTGATGATAATCTGGAGAAGATAAGGGCCTTGGCAAAGGTGAGGGCCTCTGGCGAGGTGAAGGCCGCTGGTAAAAGTGAGGGCCTCTGGCGAAGGTTAGGCCTCTGGCAAAGATGAGGGCCTCTAGCGAAGGTGAAGGCCCTGGTAAAAGTGAGGGCCTCTGGTGGAAGGTGAAGGCCCCTGGTAAAAGTGAGGGCCTCTAGCGAATGTAAGGACCTCAGATGAAGACATCAGGCCTGAATGTCGGGCCTGAACATCGGGCCTAAACGTCGGGCCTTGAGGTGGTGGTGCGGCGAGGCTCCTGCGGTGGTCCGGTGAGGCTCCTGCAGTGGTCCGGCGAGGTTCCGGCGGTGGTCGAGGAGGAGCTTCTTCCTTCTCTTCTCCTCTTCTCTTCTTGCTTAGATCCCCCCTCATGAGAAATGAGGGCTCTATTTATAGATTTTCTGGAGTGGCATGGCCTGTAAATAGGCGTGAGATCAGGGGCAAATAGGGAGTGGTCGAACGGACGGCCGACATTGAATCCTACGATTGTGCACCGTTCGTTGATCATTTGAGGGCCTTAGTGATGTCGGATTTTGGCGATTTTGGGTTCGTTGGATTTTTCTCGTCGAGACGTTCGATTCGAGTATAAGCTCGTTAAAATCGGAGACCGTTTGATAACTCAAATTGAGGTTTGAACCTTCCAACAACGCTTCGGGTCCATGATTCGGACCCATTTGGGCTTGGATTGGGTCGAACTTGGTGTCGTTGGGTTCGTATTTCCAATACGCTCAGTTTGACTATAAGCTCGCTGAAATTGGAGTTCACATGCTCCCGAATTTAATTTTTGAAGTTTCTTGATTGTGTTTTGCCTCGAGATTCGTGCCCGATCAAGATAATTTCATGATGACGTACTTTTTTTTGAAAATAACTAAAAAATAATAATCAAAAGTTACCCCAAATGAAACCTAAATTTAATGTTATATGAAATCCGCTATAATTTTAAATTTGAATATGAATTCATTATATTTTGTTCACTCATTTGATTTATGTCCTAATAAATTTGTCAATCAAATAAATTTATTAATTTTGAGCTTAAATATAAATGAAATCAAATTAATATCAGTATATATAATTTATTGTTATAATAAAGCTAATAATTTTGATTATACCCTAAATAATTTAATATTTTCTTGATCAGAAACATAATAAATTTGAGAGAGATATTAAGAAATAATAATAATTAAAATTGATTTAAGCTCGACTTGGGTAGGGAAACCGGATTGACGGATTAGGTGGTGAGCGTAACACTGACGGCGCCGTTATCTTAGAACGGAAGGACGACGGTCGTGCGCCTGACTGACAAAGATATTTTTCCTTTTTTAAATAGTTGTAATTAATTAATAGATTTTTTTTTTAAAGTATAATTAGGAAGGCCTACGTTCGGCTTAATGTCAGCCGTTGATCAGTGACAACGCCTGATTTGGAAAGATGAGCGTCCATCACTATTTTTTATTAAAAAAAATATTTGCACAGTAACCATCGTAATCACACCTTTCCTAATTCTACCAAAATATAAATTATTTATAGAATATTATTAAAAATTTCTTCACTTTCTAATAAGAATAATAAGTCATATATTTTAAAATAATCAAAGATCATTTTTCTGATTAAAATAAAATATATAATTATTTATTGACGAGTTTTTATTAAAAAAATATTTGTGAATATATATATATATATATATATTTAGAAATTTAACTTAAGCATTTAGGATTTTAAAATATTTAATTATCATTTAAAATTTGATGTAAGAACTAAGAAGTGATGATACAAATCATGCAAATTATAATTATAAAAAAAATTATAAACATAATTTTTTTATATTAGTTTTAAAATATTTTTATAATTTCAAAATTCTTGTATCATTTACTATATAGTAGATTTTTCAACTAAGTCAAATCTCATGATGATATAACTTTTTATATGTACATATTAATTTGGTTAAAAAAATTAAGACATTAAATAGTAACTTTATCGATGCAAATTTTCTAGAACGTAACATTTTGACGCAAATTATCTAGTGGATAAAAAATATAATAAATTATAAAACTAATATATGTTCTTGAGAGGTACCAATAACAATTAAATATGACTTCTCTTATCTAGATAAATATTTTTTTTTTAAGTTTAGGGTTTAATGCCTAAAATGTCATGCCTCTAAGCATCCACATGAGAGAGGAAAATTATTCTATGCGGTCACCGGACCGTTTGGAGATAAGTCAGAATATGTCACATCACCCGGTACATAACGGTACACAACAAAAAAATGATGTGATCAGTCCTGATTCGCCTCTGGACGCATCCAGTGACCGCACAAAATAATTTCTCCATGAGATGGGTCTCTCTAACTATTTAAATCATAGGAAATGTAATTAATCATAGAGAAAGGCTTAAGAGCTTCAATTATATATCTATATCAAATAAATAACTTTATTTTAGTGATAATGGGATCTCAACAAACCCAACCAAGCTATCTAAAAACTATTGGGTGGGGAATTAAGGAGGGATCATATGATGATTTTCCAAGCCAAAGATTAGGTTTTGCAGACTAACGAAGAATCACGATAAATATGATAATAAGTGTTAAAGTTAGGGATGTACGTGAGTCAAGTCAACTGGCGAGTCAGCATAAGATGTACTCGATATTTGGCGTATGAGTGTTTTGATTTAAAAAAATATATTTAAGTATATATAGTTTTGAAAAATATTTAATTTTCTTTGGGAATATTTAATTTTAAATTTTGAAATAGAACACATCGTTATGAACAATATATTGCCTCGAAAGACGAACGTATCGTTGTTCCCTAACGGGTTTAAATTTCAGAATTCTAATCTTATCCGAATTATCATAGTCAAACTCAAAGGGAAAATTACATTCGACCCCGGAGGATCAAAATGGAATTTAACCAATTGTTTGATTATTCTAATTCGGATAAAAGATCGTTAATTTCATAATCGAAGCCACAATAATAATTGATATATCTCTCCGAAGAAAGAATATATCAATTATTATGGATTTGTTCGAAAATGACGATAATGATCGTCGGTTTTGATTTTTCCAAAGAAAATTAATTAGAGGTTTTGAAAAATTATTGGTTTTGAAAACAAGTTCTGGGTTTCTAAATCTCCTACGAGCGCAAGCCCTCGTAGTTAATTACATCGTAGGAAATTAAAATTTCCTACGAAAACTCTCGATTAAAATAGCGATATGAATTTCATTTATGATTTTCAAAGTTTGATATCAAAGGAAGAAAATGGTAAGGATTTCAAGTGGGATTGGTTCAAGTTAAAAAAGATATCCAAGCCATTGGATGTTGATCTAAGGGCTGGGATAGGGTCTAAGAAGGTTCTAGAGTCCCCTTGAAATGCTAGATGGGCTTGGGTTAGAGGGGTTCAAATGAATCACTCTGGGTCATAAAGGCCTATTGGGCCTTTAATGGGCCACTAAGCCAAAATTGGTTGACTTGGCCAAAATGATTTGGGTTTGACTCAAAATGAGTTTAGAAATATTGTAGACATTGAATTGAATGAGTTTAAAAGTTTAAAGACATTGATCTGATTAAATGGGTTGAAATGACCCATTTGAACTCTTAAGGGCTCATGAGGTCAATCTTGGTTGACTTGGTCAATCAGGTGGGTCCAAGGTCTGGAAATGAATTTAATCAATTTGAAATGATATTTGGAGACCATCGGAGGTGGTCCCGAGGTCTGGGGAGGTCAATTTGGTTAAAATGCCCGTTTTGACCCTTAAAGGCCTATTTGGTCAACTTAGGTCGACTTGGTCAACTAGGTTGACCCAGGGTCTGGGTTTGGGTCCGATAAGTTTGGTTTGATATTTGAAACTTGCTGGAAGTGGTTTCAAGCGATTTGAAGGTCGTTTGGTTTGAAATCGATGTTTGAACCCCTAAAGGGTATTTTAGTCGAAAAGGTCGATCTGGTCAAAAAGGCTTGACCAGGGTCAGGGCTTGAGTTCACTGCACTCCTAATGGTGATTAGGATGCATTGGAAAAGGTTATGGGATTTGATTTGAAAAGGGCATGTTGAAGTCTTTGAAAAACTCCAAAATTGCCTTTAAAGGGCATTTTGGTCATTTTGACCCCTGGTCCACTCTGGGTCAGGTTGGGTCTACCAAAGTGCAGTTTAATATTCAATAGGTCATAATAAAGGGTCTGGAGGTGATTAGAGGCTTTGGAGAAAGCTCTAAGGTCAAAATTTCTTAATGGCAAAACCAATGGCATGGGCTGTAAATATATGAAGGTTTTGCAGCCTTTGGATTTTGATTAAGTTTCTTGGGTTAGAGACTTCAAAATGTTTTTAAATTTGGAGGGTAGCCTCTAGAGACATGTCTCATCAGTATGCAACTGACAGACCCTAAATCAGAGGTCATTTGATAGGGTTTTGAAGTGTTTGAAAATTCACTGGAAAAGGCCTTTAGGACAAGGCTTCTGGACTTTAGATTTGAGTCTGGATTTTGAGTTTAGAAGATTGAATTTGAATTATCTATATCATTTATGATCATTTGTGATAGGATATGGTCAGGCTAGATCAAAGGTAGGATCTAGGTTTGAACTTGATATTGAGATCTGGATAGGTTTAAAGTCTGGATAAGTTTATAAGTCTGGATTTGATTTGAAAATTTGAATTGACTTGAGATTTGAATTAAAGCCTGGAGTCTAGAAGGATCCGAGGACCTAGAATAGATCCTAAGGTCTGGATCTAGGAGAATCATAGAGTTTAGGTTAATCTGGAAGAATCCTAGGGTCTATATTGATTTGGGAGAATCCTAAAGTCAAGGTAGATCCTAGGGTCCGGGGTCAAGATTGATCCTAGGATCTAGAATAAATCTTAAGGTCGAGATTCTAGAAGGATCCTAGAGTTTGGATTGGTCTAGAGATTAAATTGATCTGGGGTCAGGACTGGTCCAGGTGACCTCATACAAAAATGAGGTCAACAATGAGCTGAGTTCTATGAGCTTATTAGCAAAGTTTGAGCCAACCTCGAGTCAGTTTTTTAGATCACGAACTGACTCGTTTAAAAAATATTACTATAAAATATATTTAAAATAAATTAAAGTATAAAGTTATCACAACTCATCTTGTGATTTTGGTATGAGTTCTTAAAATTTATTGTAATTTTTTTTTTAAGATGCATGCCACAATCGAAATTTGGAAAAAAGAAATAATAAACCATTATTGTAATTGTTTTTTTTTTTTTTTTTAAGATGCACTATGTTTTAAAACAATTTAATCATAAAGCTTTTCATAAGATAATCATTGGCACACACCCTTCTTTGCAAATTAATAATGGTATATACAAATTTATAGTTAAGTCAGTTCTTGAGTGATGTATAAGTAATAACGAATTTGGGCATTGCTTGCAAATTTTAAAAAATGAAAGGTATAAATATAAATGCTTTTGGTTTTAATTAAAATTAGGGGTGCCAAAATAAGTTAACGAGATGAGTTCGGATTTGGTCCGAAATTAACCCTACTTGAATTTGGTCAACCCAAGCTGTTAAATAAATGGTTAAAATATGTGTACTCGAATGGACGCTGGCAACTCGAATTATCCAAGAACCCATTTTGATATTAAATTTTTTTTTTAACTTTTTAACACTAGATTTTAAGTTAATTAATAAAAATAAGATGATCATCCCAACAAATTAAAAAAATTAAGGAAAAAATATTGAATTGGCTATTTCGGGTCAAAATAGAGTTTGTGGGTAAACTAGAACTCATTCCATTCAATAAACGGATCAGAATTTCAAAACCCAACGGGCTTATTAAACCGGTCAACCCTAACATGAAAATTTTGGGCCATATCATTTATTGACACCCCTAAGTAATATATATATCAACAAAATTTTCATATTTTATAGTTTTTAAATAATATCATGTATATACAACTTATTTTACCTTAGTAGTTCAGAGCTTTGGCTTTTACTATAAAATTGGATTCGAGTCCCAACATATACGTAAAGGTATCAGTAAATGACCTGACCCAATAACTAACTCGAACCCAATATGAAAATTCCATATTTGAGTTTACTCGTTTAATAAACAGGTCTTGTTCATGATGGGTTTTCTAACCCATTTATTAAATGGTTAGGGTTTAAATTGACCCACGAATCTATTTTGATAAAAAAATTACCCAATTAATATATTTCTTCATTATTTTTTAATATGGGTATAATCTTTTTATTTTTGTTCAAATATCCTAAATTTTCTAGCTAATAAGTTATAATTTTTTTGAAACAAAACGGTTTAAAGGGTCGGTCAATTTCGAGTTGGATTCGAACTCGACCCGTGAATCCTTTTGACAATTATGCTTAAGAGTATACGATTTAGACCTAATATGTTTTGTATATTGGATGGATTTTTTGATGATGTATAGGTTACATAATAATTATAGATACTTAATTAGGACATCCACCATCCAATATATTTTGTATGACTAAATATAAATTGAATATATATATATATATACAAAAAAAATTTCTAGAGTCAATTGTAATTTAAATCCATAGGATGCCAAACAATCATAGCTATATTATTATCATAATTCCCCAAAATATTATTATCATAATAATAACAAATTTTGTATCCCTTATAAAATTGAAGGAAAAATCCAAGTCAGGCTCTCCTAATAATTTCCTATCAAGAAGGATTAATCATCTATGGCATCTCCTTAATGTTGCATAATCATACATTTATTTATGTAAATTATATATTATTAAAATTGCCCTATATTTTTAATTATATCTCTTGCATGTTTTATTATTTATCATATATTTATGTGTTAAATAATATCTCCTTTTTTAAAGAATAAATATTTCATATATTATTTGTTAACTATACAAATGTGGCACTTTGTTAATCCCTCTGAATCAAAAAGATTGCCAAACTATGTTTTTTTTTTCTTTTTTTAATAACATATAGAAAAAGAATGCAGCCCCTTGGCCCTTGCCACCCAAGTGAGAAGTGGTTAACCTTTTAATTTAGTATAAAAAAATTTTATACTAAAAAACTGCTTTAGAAAAGTGTAAGAAAGCTGTTCCAAATGAAATCTAAGATTTAATTTGAGATAATTTTCTTACTGCTTTTAAAGCAACTTTTCACTACAATTTTTTTTTGAACTAAAATATTTTATACTAAAAAGCTGTTTTACAAAGCAATAAGAAAGTTTTCCAAAACAAAACTTAAGTTGATCGTTTATTATCTACTTTTTTTTTTAATATAGTTTAATTATTGGATTTTCTTAAAATTGCTAGAAGGGGGTGTTAATATTTGACACGACTTGAAAATCTGACATGAACCCGACCCGAAAATTTGGTGTTCGGGTTAGAAATTTCGACCCGTTTGTAAAACAGGGTCTGGTTCGGGTTGACCCAGAAACCTGAAATCAAATCGATTTGATACTTTTCCCACTTTGTCTATCCGTCAAGTCCCTATCAATCACATGTTTGTTTGTCCATCGCGTCCGCATTAGTCATGGATGTTGAGTCCCCATCAATCGCATACTCGCACTGTCTGCGTTTGGTCAGTCGTCCATCCTCGGCAAGCCCACAGGGCATTGCCGAATGCAGACCGCATCCTTCGTCGATGCCTTGCCGGCCTGATGTTGCCACCGTGCAGAGTTTGCAAGAGTTATGATTCCTCGTCAGCTTGTCGTGACCATCCGCCAGCCTGCCATTCACGCTCTTCTTTGGCATGCTATTCGCGCGCTTCTTCTTCTTCTTCTTCTTCCATGTTTTAGGTATTTCATATCGGGTTGGGTTGAGCTGAACCCAAAACGGGTCGTGTTCGGGTCCAAAAAATTATCCTGTTTTCAAAAATGGGCCTGGTTCGGGTTGGTTTCAATAGTACCGGATCAATTCCGAGTTGGACCTGAACACAACTCGTGACCCGATTTTGATATCCCTAATTGCTAGTACTAATTTATGTACATACTTGATACTATACAAATAAAAAAAATGTTTGATACTATATGATAATGCTTATATATCTATAATCCAATTTTAGTAGTTTGGTAGTTCAATATTTTTTCACATCAATTATATTAATATTATAATTTTTTTTTTTTAAATCTAAATTGAGCTTTAGCATTCATGTTTTTAATATTTTAAAATTATTGAATACAACGAAGCCGAATCATGCACTTCCTTCCAACTACTATGAATTTATTTTTCTTTCATTGGCCCTTCCTCCAACAAAAGGCAGTGCCCTCTGTACAGTCCTTAGCCGCCACTGCCCGCACCCAACCCTCATGTTTCTTCGGTTCTCTCGCCCACGTCTGTAAGGAAGTCAAGACTCAACCCTAAGCAATCTCATCGATCATGGCGCACGCGTTAGCAGTTCAGGTATCTCTTGTCTTGGTCTTCCCTTCTGTTTTAAGACTATTTCATGTTCGATTAAATTCAAGTTACACGGATTGTTTGTAATCTGAAAGCTCTCACCTTTTCTTCATAGGTTTCTCTTTTCGTACAGTCTGAAGCTGATGGATCGCTGAGGAGGTCGAGATTGAAGGTATTTATTTTTCTGTGATTTGAAATTTGTCGCTTGGTTGGAGTTTTTGTTGTTCTCTTTGGGTTTAGGATGGCTGTTTGAATTTTATTGTTTGTTCATTTGTTGGATGGGAGATTTAGACTACTTCTACATGCTGAAACTGCAAATCTTCCCAGCAAATGGAACTTTGTTTTTTTTTTTTTGGAAATTTTGCGTAGGTCATTCATGAAGAGATTTTAGTGTTTTTGCTGAGATCTAACTAAGCCATGACAAACTGGCTTATCTATCTTCATTGGATTCTTGAACAGATGGACAATTGATCAAATTTCTAATAATATTCTATTTGGTGTTGAATTTACCCACTTCCCTAACATTTTTATGTTGCCTTGACTAGGCATTCCAATTATTTGTTTTGATTTGAAAATGTGAATACTGGCCAGAACAATTTGGTTATGAAACATTATTAGCAGGGTGTCTCTCTTTTCTTGAAGCTCAGCTTTGAATCATAAAATGCTTATGTTGGATTGTTGGAATGAATTGCATGTTCTCTTCTCCAAAGATTGTTTACTTTGCTTTACAGAAAACAAAAGTTAAAAGCTGCACCTTCCTAAAATTTATGGTTTATTTCTAACTTCACCATTGGCTTGTCTTTTATCCAGTCCATGAATAAAATAGGTTACCATGATAAGTCCTGGATTTCATGTACACCCTTGGACTTGAAAAGCAGGATCACCTATTCAAAATGCCAATGCAAGATTGTGTGCATGTCCGTGCAACAAGCCAACAGAAGGAAAGTTGCAGTTAACCCACCAGAGCTAGAGGATGCTAAGGAGCCACCTCTCCACCTGTACAAGCCCAAGGAGCCTTATACTGCAACCATTCGTTCGGTTGAGAGGATTGTTGGACCCGGAGCTCCTGGCGAGACATGCCATATTGTAATTAATCATGGAGGTAATGTCCCATACTGGGAAGGACAAAGCTATGGTGTAATACCTCCTGTAAGTGCCATTCAATTTCCAGTTATTTGGATAAGCTAGTTTTCTTATTGTACTAATCACTCAATTACTCATATAAAGAATGATTGTATTGCAACACACTGAGCCTCAGTTTGTTTAATTTATTTTTCCTCAACTGTGGCATGTATGACTTTCTGGTTTCTTTTCAAACCATGCAGACAAGAATTAATTTTTCCTTCTCTTAATCTTATTCGCTTGAGAATTTGACTTTTAATAGAACACAATGGAGAAAAAGGATTCATGTAGCCGACCCCACGTAGTGGGATAAAGGCTTGATGTTGTTGTTGTTGTTGTTGTTAATCTTATTCGCTCTCGAACTCCTGTTGATATTTTTATTTGATCCCTGATGATTGATTTGAAATAAATGTGGTTTACCATCTCCTTTGATAGAGTTGTGGTGGATGAGAATAAGTGGTTGATTGGTGGACGGGTAGGCATGGAGAGAGCATTGATCAAGAGCTAGAATATCTGTAAAGAGATGAATGGTATTCGGATTTTTTAGGAGAAATTACAGTAGATAGGATAGATGGGTTGGACAAGAGCTATGATGAGCTTTGTAAAGCTCACCTCATTTGGTTCACAACCAAAATAATAAATTATCAAGCTTGCAAGCAAGAATAACACATATTTGTAGACAAAATATAGAGTTCATTTTCATTCAATTCATCCATTATTTATACTACAAGAGCCCAGATTTGAAATTCAAAATACAAGAATGAAACTAAAGTTACACTAATTTCCATGACAGACAATACTGATGCAACTCCCAAATTCGAATTTTACAACGCCCAATCACATAAATGAAGAGGAGGAATAGTAGTTAATTTCAATCATAATTCAAATAGTTTCATTCAATTCAACTACCTCCAACTACTAAATAGGGTTTAACTACTAATTTTTAACCACCAACTTCCAATGAACTTAACTCTTGGAAAAAAATTACAATAATAATTTGAAATGAAATTAAATTAAGTTAAGAATAAAGTAATCTCCATCTTTATATGCTTGTCCCGCATCATCCATTGTGTCGTGCTTGTTTGATTTTTTTATTTTGAAAATCAAAATGTCTTAAATATAGTTGCAATTTGACTATGTTCGTTTTAGTACCTTTAGTATATGAAATTTGTTGATTGGGGGAGATGAAATTATGCATTTGTTATTCAGGTTCATCATTAATATCAACCTTCCCATTGAGTTCTAGATGAATTGTTAACTTTATTTTGCTAGAATGCTTCTTCTCATCTTTTATTATGCTATCTCAATTCTGTCATTTTTTTTCCTATTTCTTGTACATTAATGTATCTAATCATGTTATTGTTACATATACATGGATAGAAGATAGAACCAAGGGTTCGAAACCTTCGTGAATGATAGTGGATTGTTTCTAGCTTAATTTTGAAGTGTTTCATATTTTTCTAAGTGATTTGGAGTGGCCTAATGAGGGTTTGAATTAAAGAACTAGTATTGAATGGTAATTAATCTAAGCACCAAATTGAATGGGAATTTGTGTGGGATGGTGGACAATTGATGGCAAAAGATTTCTACAGTAGTAACAAGTAAGGTTTAAGGAGAAAGCATAAACATACCACTCACCAAATTGATAAGCCATGGAGAAATCACCAAATTCCTCCAATGAAAAGCCCGGCTACCAAGCTTCCCTCATAAAAGTTAACCTTTAGAATTTGTTTTCATCAAATCAACAACAATAATTTCTTCTTCCTTCCATTGAACTTTATAGTCTTTTACATAAAGGAAATTTCAAACAACGCAAAAGAGAGGGAAGTCAGAGTCGGTTGTCTAATGAGTGGAGGAAAAGATGGTGGTTATCCAATGTGTAACTACCCATTTAAGTGTGTGGTGGCCAACCATGCCATAGTGGAAATTTAATATTTATTATTTTTTAATTAAAATAATCAATTTCTAATAAAATTAGATAACATTCCCGACATTTTTGAGAATAACTTAAAAAATTCAAAACTAAAATTTGAAAATTCAAAATTTAAAATTTATAAACATTCAAAAATTAGAACTTACAATAACGTAGTCTTACATAACAACCACACAACAACTAAAATACAAATTCTAATTAAATATTTTTATTTGACTCTTTATAATGGGCCCTTGCTTGGCAAGATATCCTTCTTGCTATGGCCTCTGTTGATTTGTCTAATTCTTCCTCCATTGGCTCCTTGTGCCACATCAATTCATCTGGATCTCAAAGAACTCTTTGTTGAAGAGTTAAAGTCAATGGAATGCTCCACAAGCTCTGTTGTAAGCTTCTCCAAGTCACCTCTAGTAAATCAAGTGTTCTCAGTTAGTGGTTTGTCCTTCCATCTTATAAGAAATCTCTGATCTACATTCTGATTTGTTGGCACCTCATTCGTGATAATATGATTCAAGTTGGATTGAAGGTTTTTTTGAAAAGAAAGATTAGGGAATTTGATATGTATTTGTAGAGGAGCAGGGGAATCAGATTATATTAAATGAAAATAAAGTTCTTCAAAAAATTCCGCTCTTGCTACTCACCGAAGTAGTAAGTGTGGAGGTTGTCATCAAACAATTTCCTGGTTGAAATCACAGCCACAGAGCTTCCTTCACTTAGAGTATTGCTCTAAATTTTTATAAATCAGCATCTATCCTTTCCTCTTCTTTTCATGGAACTTTTATAATCTTTTACATGGTTTTTTTTTTTCAAATAATACAAAAGAGAGTGGCCAACCAAATGGGTAGAGGAGAAGGAGGAGGTGGTTTACTCAATGTGACGCTACCCTGTCAAATGTGTGGTGAGCCATGAAATGGTAGAGATGGACTGTCTGATTATTTTTTAATTTAAAGAATCATTTTCTAATAAAATCAAATGGCATTAACTCCATTTTTTTTGGAAAATTCAATTTTAAAAATTCAAAATTATCAATTTCAAAAAATTAGAATACAAATTTTAAAAATTTTGAAATGGTTATAACTTTTAAACTTACAATATCATAGTCTTACATAACAACTGCACAAAATCTAAAACGCAAATTCTAATTAAATATCTTCTTTTGGTTCCTTGTAATGGGACCTTGCTTGAGAGCATCTTCCTTCTTTATCTGGACTTGGGTGTTTGGTTCAATTCTTTCTCCATTGGTTTCTTGTTCCACTTTCCCTATTCTTTTGTATAATAGTTGATGATACTTTGGCCTATTATAACTCACTTGATCATTTAATGATATTAAATGGTAATATCAATTTCATATTAAAGGTATGCATCATGTACTTCATCTGTCCTATGCTAATTCTAAGCCTCTCGTTATCTAGAAGTTTCCCTTTATTATTCTAACGGGTCACTAAGAATATCTCTTAACTATCAACACAATATCATTTGCAAATAAAAGACACCAAGGTTCTGTACTTTTAAAATGCTTATATACCACCAATCATGTCACTATCATCCATATCTTTAATAACTTAAACAAAACTTATCTTTGACACTCAAGTTTTCACTTAAATTGCCAGTAAAATGAAAAAGCAAAGCATCATAGGAATATGCTTTAGTAACTTTTTATGATTTTTCTTATTTGTCTTGGTACAAAAATTGTTATAAACTCGCTTGACATAAAATCAAATTGATTCTCCTATATTAGCGTGAATTTCTAAAACCATGTTCCAATACCCTTCAATTACCGGTATTTTCAAGTTCAAATACTAAGGCTTCATTTGGGGCGGCTATTTTATTGCTTCTTAAAACAACTTTTTAGTTTAAAAATTTTATACTAAAAAGTTGCTTCAAAAAGCAGGAAGAAAGCCGTCCCAAACGAAGCCTAAATCTACTGTTGCTTTTTCATTTTACTGGCAATTTTCTCTGCTTGATTTTCTCACCCATGAGGAGCTTCTATTATGTTAATCTTTGTATTAGGCTTCGTTTGGGATGGCTTTCTAATTGCTTCTTAAAACAGCTTTTAGTTAAAAAATTAAAAGTTGTACTAAAAAACTGCTTTAAGAAGCAGTAAGAAAGCCATCCCAAATGAAGCCTTAGTGTGAGACCTTCATTTTCTAAGTATTCTTTTTATGTTAAATGGTTGTTATCAGTGACTATAAGGCTTTTTTTGGCAAACTAATTTCTACAATACTAATTAGGATATTTCAAGATTGTTGCCCTATTTTTTGTGCAAGACGGAAATAACTCCTATATTCCTCAAACACTGAATAATTCTTCCAATTATGTTTTATCCATTGTTTTATGTTATGTAGGGTGAGAACCCAAAAAAGCCAGGATCTCCCCACAATGTCCGACTGTACTCAATTGCATCCACCAGGTATGGAGACTCATTTGATGGCAAGACGGCCAGTTTATGTGTCCGCCGTGCTGTGTACTATGATCCCGAGACCGGAAAGGAGGACCCTTCAAAGAAAGGTGTCTGCAGTAATTTTCTTTGTGACGCAAAACCAGGAGATAAGGTTCAGCTCACAGGTATAAATTAATCCCAGAAACTGGTTTATCTCACTTTGATGATCATATTTAGCTGTTTAATGAGTAAACTGTTAAAACAGTTGGTTAAGTTGAGAAAATGATTTCAAAATTTTTTTTTTCCTTTTTTCATTTGTTTAAGGACTACTAGTAATGTAGAGATTACAAGGTTTTCAATTCTCATTGCCAAGTTTGCTTACCTGACCATGATCTGAGTTTTGGCTTTGATAGAACAGTCTGTGCGCTGATAAGGAGAAGATATGGTGAAAGGCAGTATTTATCTACTTGTATTTTCTTGGATACATCAGAACCTTAGTAGTACCCTTTTGTGTCTTAAGTACTAAAGAATTGATCTTCAAAGAAGAGTATTTATAGAGTACATGTGCAATACTTATGCCGATCGAACTCATTAAATGCCGCCCGCCATTAATGTTCAAAGATGTTTCAACCTTGTTATACTGAGAGTTATTCTGCATTTTCTATCATTTTATCCTTGATCTCTGATGTTTAAGTTACTCTTTCAGTCTGAAACCTTGAAATAATGAGCATATTATTCCTTTTTTTGTTGCTCATTCATTATTCTGATGATATCTGTTCAACATTAATGAATTCATGTTACTTCAGGTCCCTCTGGCAAAGTGATGTTGTTACCTGAAGATGACCCAACTGCCACTCACATCATGATTGCTACTGGAACTGGAGTTGCCCCTTACCGGGGCTATCTCCGGCGAATGTTCATGGAATCAGTGACCACCTTCCAATTTCGCGGCCTCTCTTGGCTCTTCCTTGGTGTAGCAAACACCGACAGCCTTCTCTATGATCAGGAGTTCAGCAACTACCTTCAGGATTACCCCAACAATTTCAGGTGAACATTCCTCCCTCTTTTCTGTCATATTTATCTTAATTTCCCTATATACAACTTGCTTAAGTTCTTTGGTGAAATAAGTTCAGGTATGTTACAGCTCTCAGCAGGGAGCAGAAGAACAGGAATGGAGGAAAGATGTATGTGCAGGATAGAATTGAGGAGTACAGTGATGAAATCTTCAAGCTTTTAGATGGAGGTGCTCACATATACTTTTGTGGTTTGAAGGGGATGATGCCTGGTATACAGGAGACATTGAAAAGAGTTGCAGAGCAAAGAGGGGAGAAGTGGGATGAAAAGCTTGCTCAGCTTAAGAAGAAGAAGCAATGGCATGTTGAGGTTTATTAAGATAATATGATTTGTTGAAACAGCTTATGCTGATATTCTTATTTCTATCATGAATGGGGGTCTCTGTTGCTGCTCATGTGAGTAGAATGTAATGGCTGATCCAATTATTGATCAAAATAATTGAAGCAAAGATTTCTGAACTTTTTGGTTGTTTTTATTGGAACTTGTGGTTCAAGATTGGATTGTATTAAACAAATCATGTATTAGCATTGAATTGTCATTTCAAGTTGTACCCTAAACCCTAAATCAAACAATTTGGGTTAACTTGGATTGAATTTGAGGTCTCGTTTGTGACGGTTTTATTATTGATTTTTAAAGTAATTTTTTAATACAATTTTTTTTTAAGTTGAGGTAAAAATTGGTCCCAGATGAAGTCTTAGGTTTGGTTTGGGACGATTTTTTACTGCTTCTTAAAGTAGTTTTTTAGTATAAAATTTTTAATTTTCATACTAAAAAATTGCTTTAAGAAGTAATAAGAAAGCTGTCCCAAATGAAGTCTTAGTATAAAAATTAAAATTTTTATACTAAAAAGTTGTTTTAAGAAGCAATAAGAAAATTGTCTCAAACGAAACCTAATAATGTGTTTTAAAATACTCTGTACTAATTTTAGGGGCGAATTTTTGGTAGTTGGTTATGTATTTTAAGGGAGTTGATTTTTAAATTATGATGTATTGATATGGACATGAAATACTTTTGTTATCGAAAATGTAAGACATTGATTTTCATTGGACATAAAGTTGGAATTTATATTTAAATTTATTAAATATCATAAATTCTACTAAAGAAGAAATTGTTATATTATATTATAGATTTTATGTTTGAAGTTAAAATTCAAACATTAAAAAAATAAAGTAAAATAAAAAATAAAATTAGTTTCAAATAGATATTATGTTATTTAAGTAGTATTTTATAAAATAAAATAAAAGGATGGTTTATTTAAGCTATTCATCTAATAAAAATTGAAAATTATTATTAATGACATATATATTAAAAATTGAAAGTATCATTTTTAAAGTAGTCGCCGCTACCTAAACAAACCACCCACATCGCCGCCAACCTCGCCACCATTGATGGCTTGTTGTCACCACCGTTAGTTGCAGTTGTCACCACCACCACCCCATCGACGACAACCACTCGCCACCTTTGATTGTCCCCGACAACTCGTTATCATTGTAGTCGCATGTTATCGCTATTCGCTATCACCCTTTTATAGCTACATTGCATTTATTTTATTCCAGAGAAACAAAATAAGTAATCATATGCATTAATTTTATACTCATCCAAATAACTTTAATATATATATATATATATATCAAGGCTCGAACATCCAAGATATTATTATTTGGGTTTACTAATATCTATGTTGTATAAAACCGCAAATGTACCTTTCTTTTTTTAAGAAATACTGTGTGTTTAAGTTAGGTATTATTTTAAAAAAAAAGTTAGGTACTCCTAAAAATATTATAAAATATTTATGTTTTATCTTGACTGCTCTTATTTATAAATTATATTAAATTATTATTTTTTATTCCCAAAAGTTTTGAAAGATTGACCGTTTATTTAGTGTGATTGTAATTATTTGTAAAAAATGCTATAATATTTATGAAGAAGAAGAGGTGGAAGTTGGAATCAAGAAGAGCTCACGATGAATAATTTTGTCCACATTTAATAAATACATTTGTCTAAATTTTAAGAAAAAAATTATTTTATATTATATATATATATATGCCCACCCTAAAAAAATAGATTGGTTTCGCATAGGAAACATTTATATATTTTGGAGCATCATCTTACTCTTTGTTCTAATTTTTTTAAGTAAAAAATCTAATGAACAAAATTAGTTTGTCTAAATTTCATAAAATAAAATTCATGTTACGTGCTAATTTTAGAGGCGAGTTCTCACTAGTCCATTGTTTGTTTAGTACATAAAGACGAGAGATTATTGCATATAGAGTCCAAACATAGAGAATCATTCGGTTTTATGACTGTGAACAGAAAAAGCACATGTGTGAGCAGTAGCTATGCTTTTACTGTACATAGTCACAGAACCAAATATTTCTTTATGTTCAGACTTCACACGTAATAATCTCTCCCCTCTCAAAGAGAGCACACTTTTATGCCCAGAACAAGTTAAAAAAGAATTACTGGGAGTTATGATAAGGTCAAATCACTTCAACATTCATTAGCTTTCAGAATTCAATTTAATTAGCATTGTATCAATACCTAATTAATTTAACCTCCTAATTTCAAAAAAAAAAGATTGTATAAATTATGGTATTATTATTTATATTTTTTGTTGTTATAAACCTACACATATGCTTAAAATTTAAAAAATATTATCTGTCTATGATGAGTACTCCCAAAAATAACAAAAATGTTTGAGTTGAAGTTGCAATTAATTCACACATATACCCCAATTTTTTTTTTTTCCATTTTAACTATAGTGATTCATGCATTCAATTTCATAGCGTAATGATTAAAAATAAATTAAATATTTTAATAAGGTAGGTTTGAGCGCTCACTCTTAGCCCGAAAAAATAGGGCTGCAAACGAACCGAGCCGAGTCGAGTATGTTCGAGCCGAGTCGAGTATGTGAGTGTTCATATTTGAGTTTGTTTATCATTAGCTTGTTCAAGTTTGGTTCATGTTTGTGTTTGTGTTCATGTTTGGTTCATTTAATTTAAGGGTGTTCATGTTTGGTTCATGTTCGGTTCACGTTCAGTTCATTTAATGCTTGTTGAGCTTTAAACAAATAAGCATTAATGAGCTATGTTTGTAAACATATTTAACAAACAATCTATTGAACAAACAAACATTAAATTTGTTCATGAACATTTTAAACAAACAATCTAGCAAACATGAACAAATGTGAAATGACTTTTGTTCAGAAAATTAAATTTATAGTAAAAGCAACTGTCTATTTAAAATGAAAATATGATTAATCTATATGAATATATTCTTAAATGAAGCTTATCTGTTGCATTTCTCTCCATTCGAGCTTTTATCGAGCTTAATGCCGAGCTTGTTCACGAACTTCAAATGATGTTGTTCATGAACATAAATGAACAGAACACATTAGTGTTCAAGCTTGTTTATTTAAGGATAAAGCATTTAAAATGTTGTTCAAGTTTGTTTGTTTAGTTAGTTAAACGATCACAAACGAGTTTTAATCGAACCGAGCATCAAGTAGCTCGTCCAACATTTGGTTCGCTTGTAGCCCTATGAAAAAGACTGAAGGATTTTACATTTCTAAAATTCTCATATTATTTAAGTATAATGCTTTTATTTATATATGTAATAAAGAAATAAAAATATTATTTTAAAGATATAATTTTAAAAGAATTTCATATATTATCAATAAAATTATATTTATTTAGAAATCTAAAACAATTAAAAAAATAACGCTATAAATTATGAAAAAAAAAAATAAATAAATAAATAAAACTCTTTAAATACCATCCAAACAAATTATTTCAAATTATTAAATCTTAAATATTTTCAAACATTTAAAGCTTAAAAAATTGGTTTCTGCAGAACATGCTCTCAATACCTTGGTTGAATGGTTCAGATGAGGAGATTGCAGACTAAATGAACAGGAAGAGAGAGAGAGAGGAAGGTGATTGAGGCTTAAGACAAGTTTTAGGTCTACCAACTGGTGGTTGACAGATAGGGCATCTTAACTGCACCAGCACCAATCTCCCTTTCAACAAGATTCAGAAGCAACTCACCCTTGGATTACAAGAGAGCTGAACAAGTCCAGAGGAAGAAGAGAGAGAAAGAGAGAGTGGTAATATCAAAAGCTCGCAACTTTTTTTGTAGCCGAGGGGATTCCTCACGTGCAGAATAAAGTGTTGTTTCGATGATTATCGTTTGATTAGAAAGAGGGAGAGAGAGATTCATTATTTCATAAAGAAAGAGGACGGGGAATTGAATACAGTTGAAAAGTCGCTGATTAGAGGATTAAAAAAAGAGGATTTTGGTTGTTAAAATTGATTGTTTTGGTCTTTTTATATAGCCAATGAAAAGGGCTTCTTTTGTTTTTTGAATCTAGAACATGGAGGTTCTCTGTGAGCAGATCATCTGGGAATTCTTGCTTTTCTGCTCCCCACAAGGTGCACATCATCCCCTCCACGTCTTCTCCCTCCCCCTCTCTCTCTCCCACCTCCATCTTCACTGTCTTCTATCTTTATCTGAAGAGGGACATAAACTAAGCACTGTTATAGTTCTTCTCGTTGTTTTGGTTTCTTTTGTCTATTTTGCTGGGTACTTAGTAGCCTGGTAGACGACTTTGTGATGATTTGTTGTGCTCTTTGATTAGAAGTGAGGGTTGACCTTTGTCTCCTCGCTTTTCTCCCCACAATAAGTTTTTTTTAAGGTTTCTATAATCGAGACAAATATAAGGTTCGCTTCTGAAGCTAGGATTTTCGTAATTTCCTCGATCTCCCCAGCTTGTTCCTGAACTTTGGAATTCTAGGGATTTTTCTGTCTTTCACTGTGAGTTTTTGGTTTAGAGCTTGCTTTGCATTTCCATTCCTCCTGAAATGAAGAAGGATAATGTAGAAATCTACTTTCTTGCAGAGCTAATGCTTATTTATTTTTGTTAATTTTCGTGTTCTTTGTCATATTAATTTGAATGAATGATATTTGACAGATGCTTGGAACTCATAGGTTAGAAAAATACCTGTTTAAAAAATTGAACATGTTGATGGAATCCTTGTAAGAACATATGCTCAGAGTTAGATGAGATAGATAAAGAACTTTCTGTTTATTTGTATGATGATTGATTAAACTTTCATTGATCTGTTGCCACTTTGATTATTTTGGAATCTCATTTCATAAGGTAAATGATTCGGTGGCATCAACTCAGCAGTTCTTTTTATCCTTTTTTTATTCTTTGATTGGAATTTAGCCGAACTTTTGTGCATTTATGCTGTTCATATTATTGTTCTAAAAATTTCAGAATCTTCAAGAAGAAGAATATATTCTTTCCTTTAATCATTTTATTGAAATGAAGGCTTTCTATGACTCTGTATTTCAAATTATTTGTTGAGAAAGTAACAACTTAACGGTTTTGATTATTTTATTTTAACAACAACAACAATCATAACATCAAGTCTTTGTCCCACTACGTGGGCTCGGCTACATGAATCCTTTTTCTCCATTGTCTACTGTTAAAAGTCAAATTCTCATTTAAATATAATAAAGAAAGCTCATTTCTAATATTTTCTAACGAAGTCTTTTAGGTCTACCTCTAATTTTGTTAACATAAGTCAAATCTAATCCCTCTACTTTCCTAACCAGGTCATCGGAAGGCCGTCATTTTATGTGACCAAACCATCTAAGGCGACTCTCTCTAATCTTATCTTCCACGGCAGCAACTCCAAACTTTTCACGTAAAATTAATGTATAAAATAAATTATTATTGAAATCACATTTTTTTTTTAATTGAATAGAGAATAGGGAATTTCAGGAATATGATATCCTTCCGAAATTTAAGGTTTTGTTTGGCTACAAATAGGAGCCGGTAAATCTTGCAAATCCAGATTTAGTAAATCTTGAAGGAATTAGATTATGAAAGTTGTTTCATAGGATAGATGTTGAATCTGAGTAAATATTGATAATTGTTTGATAGTTAATTTCAAGATTTAGCCTAAATTGTGGCTAAATTTTGTCTCAATCTTGCAATCAAATAGCCCCTAATGGCTATGAGTACTCTTAGTGAAATCACAAATGTTTTTTTTTTCCTCTGTCAAAGAGAGATTATTTTCACTGACATTTTCATTCTATTGCTAGCACTGACTTCTTTTCTTTGACTAATTTGTTGCAGCACTTAGTTTCTGAATTAAGCACTTTATTCAATAAACCAAACTGGTTAGCCTAAATGGTTGCTCATGGTGATTATTGATTCACCATCCAATCTTCTCAATCATCGAAGCCCAATTAGCTACTCATTAAGGAAGAAAATAAGATGGCTACATTCTACTCTAATTCCAGTAACCAAAGAGATGCCATGGAAAATATTTATTTGAGGGATCCAGCAGGGTCTGAACCTGCAGTTTCTGGCAATATGGTCCATCTTAACTTTCCATCGGTCAGTTCATATTCGAATACATTGGCAGGGACCAGAGAGAAACAAGCAAACTGCATTGGTGTTTCTGATTTAGCTTCTTCTCATATTGGTGATAATGCTTACAGTTCTTGGAGGGATGGGAGGAATGTGATGCTGTTCATGCAAGCACATGGCAGATCGTTGGATGGCGGTGACGAACTTATTCGTAATTCGGCTTCTGATGTTGATCCCCAGTTGGGTCTTCAAACACCGTTGGGCATTTTGAATGAACATAATTTGTCTTTGCAGCAGTCCATGTCCAGTGGACAAGGCCAAGGATTGTCTCTTAGCCTAGGCACCCAAATTCCAGTGCCTTCTTTTAAGTATCAGCCTGCTAGCTCAGTTGTATCTGGGCTGAGCTCATATCACTCAAATTCAGGAAACGGCGAAACTTATGGAAATGAAAATTCCAGGAGTAGAATTTTGAATGCTAATGCTTCCCCTTATGGATTTACAAACACGATGAGCACAGTTCCTAATTCAAAGTACATCAAAGCTGCCCAGCAGTTACTTGATGAATTTGTTAATATTCAGAGGGCTTTAAAGAAGAAAGCTGACAATACAAAGAGTATTAGTGCATCAGGTTTTCCTGCAAGCAAAGACAACAAAGGGGCATCAAGGAGTGATGGGAACCCTTCAGAACATCAAGAATCTAGTGCCAATTCTCCCAGCGAGTTATCAACCTCAGAGAAGCAGGAGCTTCAGAACAAATTGGCAAAACTTTTGGCTATGTTGGATGAGGTGAGTATTCATTCCCTTGTTTATTGTGTTTCATTCTTCTCATTTGCAATCAAAAGCTATAATCAGATGCAAGAGTTTCTATTACGATTGAACTCTGGGATTATGCACTGAATCCTCAAAAGTGAACGGTATGTCTAACTGATAAAATTAAAAATACTTTTTTTTTGATAAAATTTGTTTTTTATCATGTGTCGAAGTTGTGATAAATAAAGTTTATAATGATACTGATAGGAAGTGGATACAATTCCTCAAAATCAGCGAATGACAATAAGAACTTAGAAAGAAAAACACATCAAATTATTTTTATTGCAAGATATATGAAAGAAAATAGCAAGATATAGTAGGATCTTTAATTGGAGAGGAAGATCCGGCTTTCCCAAATCAATAGCCAGAGCTTGTGATAAATTAGTGATTATAGTGATCTTCTGGCTAGTTTAAATGACATTTTGAGTGAATAAATAGTAAAATATCTTGATGCATATGATTTTAATTTCTTTCACTAGTTATTATTTATATTGATGATTTATAGAAGCTCTGTTAGATTCTTAAAATGATAAATAGACAATTATTTCAAATTTGATTCTGGGGCAGTACAAGAACATACAAAAACTATTTTTATTACAAGATATATGAAAGAAAATAGCAAGATGCATTTGGATCTTCAATTGGAAAGGATGATCTGGCTCTCCCAAATCTCTTGCTTGCTGCTGGAGCCCTCACAACCTAAGAAATTCTAATTTAAGTAAACTCAAAGCATAATCTTGAAATCACCCTATTGTCAGCTTTAAATAGGCTCCCTTGATTCCCTTAAATCTGAATTCAAATTAGCCATATTTTCCTAAATAATTCTATCTCAAATCTAAATTCTAATCAGCTCTCTTTCTCTAAATAAACCTTATTAATTCTCTTCTAAATCTGAATTCAAATGACAGCTCTCTCTCTAAATAAATCTTACTAATTTCCTTCCAATCAAATCAACCCTCATTCTCTAAATAAACTTTCCTAATTCTCTCCCAATCAAATCAGCCGGTCCATTAGACACTTCCCTATGAATTATAACTGTTTTGCTCAGCCCTCTGTGCATTTTGTTCTTCTGGAGTGATTTTTAAGCTGAATGAAAGCGTCAGCTTCTGCAATATTGTTCTCGGAAGTTATTTTGTTTTATGCACGCCATTTAACTGCACCAATTATGAAGCTAATTTTGTTTTCTGTTGGAGGCTAAATGCGTTTGACATTATTCTCTGTATACTTATTTTGCATATTCATGTAATTTATGGTAAAATACTTGAAGTTAAATTTATATGGGAAACTAAGAATTTCGAGCATTAACCAGTTATTGGGCCCTCTAACCAATTGATAATCTAAACAGTTGAGCTTTTAAAATACAAGGGAAGAAGGCAGCTGATTTATTTATTTTTCCATCTATGTTCTTCAGAAGTATCACATACTGTGTTTATGTCCATTTCTTATATCTCCTCTGGGATCTTCTACTACAGAAATAAGACGCTCAAACTTTTAACTAAAGTTGTGCATTTGTGCAGGATTGTTTTGTACATTTTAACTGATTTACAGTTTGGCTGATGTTATTGATGAATTTCATGAAGTTTATTTTATCCAGTGATTGTTTAGTGAATTCTCAGTTCACCACCTATGGAAACTATGGGTATGTTTGGTTTGAAGGAATTGGAGGGAATGCAAATGAATCTTGCTTCACAATTTTTCATTTGGCGTTAGGTTTTAATGTTAGAGTACACATTTTAGATATCTTGGTTCTATTGTTCAGAGTGGTGGTGAAATAGATGGGGATATTATCAGCAGAATTCAAGTTGGATGGTTGAAGTGGAGGAATGCATCGGGCTTATTATGCGATAGAAAAGTCCCCCTCAAATTAAGAGAAAATTCTATAAGATGGTGGTGAGATCTGCAATGCTTTATGATGCCGAATGTTGGCCATTAAAAGAGAAGCATAATACTTAGTTAAGTGTTGCAGAGATGAGGATGCTTAGAGATAGGATACAAAATGAACATATATGTGAAAAGGTTGGAGTAGCTCCAGTGGAAGATAATATTAGAGAGATCCGCCTTAGATGGTTTGGTCACATTAAACGTAGGCCTTCCGATGACCCGGTTAGGAAAGTTGAGGTATTAGATTCGACTTCTGTTAAGAAAGGGAGAGGTAGACCTAAAAAGACTTGGTTAGAAAATATTAAAAATGATCTTTCTTTATTAGATTTAAATGAGAAATTGACTTTTATCATGACACAATGGCGAAAAAGGATTAATGTAGCCGACCCCACATAGTGGGACAAAGGCTTGATGTTGTTGTTGTTAGGTTTTAATGTAACGAATATGTAATCAGATTTTCCTAAGAAATGTTAAGAAATGCATTTTTCTGTTGGCTGCTTATGTATTACATTATCTTGTTGATGTGCTTCCTGAAAAAGCCTTAAGATTAAGAAAGTATCTCTCTCTTTCCATCAATAGGCATAAATATACCATACCATCCTTCTACCTTTTTCTTTGAGGTGACTTTCTGAGATTATCTTGAATTTTCTCTGTTGTTATTCTTCTGTGAAGATAATTGATTGCATTTGCCATGACCAGCACCTTTGGATCAAGATGACTTCTATATGAGGATTCAATGTAAGATTCAAATTCTCAAATTCTTACAAGAACTCACAACATGAATTATGAGTTTTCTAACTTTTGCAAGAACTCTCATTCCAAATTATGTAAAAAGAAATCAAAATGAAACATGAATTTACATAAGTCTTAAATCCACAAGATCTTAAACAATATGATTTTCACAAGATTTTAATCGGAAGAAAACATACTTTGATTCATGCTGAATTCGTTGAATTCCGAACTACGGTTTCTCCCCCTTTTCCCTTTCACTTTCTTCATTCATGAGTTAATTCTCTATGGAACAAACTAACTCCCATAATGAGAGAGAGAGGACCGGTAGTTATTTCCTACGAATTAGTTATAATAACTGCTCATAGGAGTTATTTAATCAAACGGTCCATAAATAATTGATCAAATTTTCTCTTCTTGACCAATAGGATTTCATATAACTAATTAAATTTGAATAACTCAAATATATGGGCCGCTTAATGGCTTATATAATTAAATATATATACAAATAATTATTGCGACGTCTCACATAATTATTATATTTAATTATTCTAACATTCAAAGCAGTAAGATATTTGAGAAACATGAATTAAAAAATAGCAATTCCTAAATTATAGAAGGCCCTTCCTTGCACTGTTCGTTTGGAAAAAGCTTTTCTTCTGCATACAAATTAGAAATGAAATCTAATTGAAACATTTGGAGGGATGGAAAATATCATACCTCTGCATGCTTTCCATGACTGTTAAATAATTATATCTCTAAGCACCACATTTTTTTCATAATTATATGCAACTTATGACATATGGAATATATTCTATACCATAGCACGAATGCAGGTCCTGGCATGATAAACTAACTCAGTTCAACCATTAATTGGGTCTAATATGACAGCTTTCACTTCTTTACAGGTTGATAGGAAATTCAAGCAATACTTCAATGAAATGCAGATAGTTGATGCATCTTTTGATGCAATAGCAGGTTCAGGTGCTGCAAAACCTTACACAGCTCTTGCCCTTCAGACAATATCTCGTCACTTCCGCAGCCTTAGAGATGCCATTGACAGTCAGATTAGATCTTCACAGAAAATTCTTGGGGAGCAAGATGGCCTAAGCGGTAAAGGATGTGGAATTTCTCGTCTTCGCTACATTGATCAACATATGAGGCAGCAGAAGACCATACAACAGCTTGGTGTGATGCCACAACATGCTTGGAGGCCGCAGAGAGGGTTGCCCGAGAATTCGGTTTCCATTTTGCGAGCTTGGCTCTTCGAGCACTTTCTTCATCCGTATTGTTCTAAACCCACCTTTGGCATTTCCTGGTGCTTTGAGAATTGTGTTTTGTGTATTATGTTATCATGATTGTATGTTGTATGTTGTATGTTCTTCTTTTTCCAGTTACCCAAATGATTCTGAGAAGCTTATGTTAGCAAGACAAACTGGTTTGACGAGAAGTCAGGTATGTTTTCAATCGATCATTCAGGTCAACTGTAGAACAACCACATTCATTAAATGATGTGGATCATTTTGATGATCTACCAAACATAAAGAATACTTGTAAATTGGAAATGTGAAATATACACCAAGGTTGGGTTAGCTATGGTACTTGAGAGTTTCATGAAATGTTTGAAGAAATGGTAGTTTCCCTATGCCTTACTGATCTAATCAAATTGGTATGGCTTTTCCTGATTACACAAGGTGAAGGTAATCTTACAAGTTTGTCACCACAATCTTCATTGCTAGTAACCATGGCAATGTCAAATATAGTAACTAAGGTTTCGTTTGGGACGACTTTCTTACTGTTTCTTAAAGCTGCTTTCTAGTTAAAAATTTTAAATTTTGTACTAAAAAATCGCTTTAAGAAGCAAAAAGAAAGCCATCCCAAATGAAGCCTAATTATCTAAGTAGCACACTTCTTTTTTCCTTACAAGATTGGAGAAAGAAAATATTTAAGAATTTAAACCCTCACTGTGATTTTGTTCTTTTCTGCTAATGATGAATGTAAACTCCTTTCCTACCAGATTTCAAATTGGTTCATAAACGCCCGTGTTAGACTCTGGAAGCCAATGGTCGAGGATATCTACAAAGAAGAGTTTGGTGAGAATGAGATGGATTCAAACTCTTCCTCAGAAAATGCAACCAAATATATTGATGAACTCTGCAACAACGCACAGGAAGACCAACAAAGTCCTTCAAATGAGAGATGTCAGACCAACCCATCTAACCAATTGAATCTTATATCAGAAACTAACACCGCTGCTCGAGTTCCCAGTTTTCAAAATGAACCAATGGATCAGAGACCCCATGATTCATCCAACATCAATCCTCTTCTTCACGACACCATCTGCAATGCAGAAGGGAGCTCAAGGCTCATGACTTATACAATGAATGAGCTTGCAAGATACGACAATGGCGGAGTATCTCTCACCCTGGGTTTGCAACATTGTGATGATAACCTGCCAGCTTCAGATGTCCAGGAAGAATTCCTTGCATCAAGGGGTGAGGACGTGTACAGTTCAGCACCTTCAATTGGTTTTGGACCCTCTCAGTTACTGAATTATTTTGTGGCTTGATTGCTTTTTGTTGCATGATTTGTTGACAGATGAAGAGGATTACAGTTTGTTTTGATATGTTGTGTTGTTCTTGCAATTCATAGTAACAGATGGAGAAAATATTAGATTGTAAGGAGTGGGATTTATATAAAGTATAGCATGTTGTAAAAAAATATAGACAATAGATGCATATTTTTGTGTAATTTGGGATGGAGAAAAGAATAAGTTTGTACACTATAGTTTGATGGCATACTTGTTAATTGGTGTATCTGAAATCTCTTATGCAGCATTATATTCTTTCTTTTGTGCTCAAAATGAACTAAATGGGCTCAGTTGCATTACATTAATAGTATTGTGCTAGAAATTTTATGATGTTAGAGTATGCATTGTATATCTTAATTTATGTAAAAAGTTAGGATTCACAAATAAAATTTAGGAGAGACCAACATTTTTTACGTGAAAATTCAAGAATGTTAAAAGCCACATAATCTGATTCAGTTGTAATAATTCACTATATAATTAAAAATATAAAAAATGGTCATTTTTTTACAATTAAAGGTGATGAGATCATACACAATTAAGAGCATTTTACTTGAGTTTTGTTATAGAAATCACAAACATCGGGTATTCACAAGTTGACAATTAAAGTCCAATAGCAGAGTTAGATGTTAATAGTAAATGATGACGATGATGACAATTGCTAATTTTGGTTGTTGGTAGCATTTGCTAGAAAAACACAAATTTTTTTTTGCTCCCTTAGCTTAACACTGTCATTGTCATGTCTCAAGTCCTGAATGAGAAAAGTGGAGGGTTGTGTTAGGTAGTCGACAACTAGCATAAAATTTGTTGAATAATCATGACATGAATGCTTTAATACATCGTGTTAATGCTAGGGCGTTCCTTAGAAGCGATGTGCTGTATGACCTGAACATAATGAGAAGTGTGCAAGGGCTGTTGCATTGGCGCCCGGATACAATGTTAAATAAATAAGGTTCTCACATCATAGATTGATGTGGACAAAGAAGTTAGTCCATGAAATTAAAATTAGGTTAGGATCATGGAATGTAGGTTCCCTTACAGACAAATTAATGAAATTAATTGATATTATGATTCATATGAAGATAAATATTATATGCATTCATGAAACTAAATGAGTATGAGAGAAGACTAAGGAGATTGATAGTTTAGAGTTTAAATTTTGGTGGTCTTATAGGAGTCATATTAGAAATGGCGTATGTGTGATTATAGATAAGAATTTGAAAGATAACGTTATAAAAATTGATAGAATTAGAGATAGAATTATAACTTTAAAGATAGATTATTATATTATAAGTACTTATGCTCCTCAAGTAGGTTTGGATATGACTTCAAAATTAAAATTTTAGAATTACTTAGAAAAATTGATACAAAAGATACCTCTTAAAGAAAGAGTTTTTATTATGTGAGATTTAAATTGACATGTTGGTATAGTAGGGGTGTAAACGAGTCGAGTGGAGTCGAGTATCTGCCTTACCAAGCCTGGCTCATTTAACCCTCAATTAGCTCGAACTCGAGCTCAAGCTCAAATTCGAGCTCGATTAGTAAGCTTGAGCTCGACTAGTTTAGAAAATACCAAGCTCGAGATCAACTCGAAAGCTCGAGCTCGCATTGAAAGCTCGAGGTCGTTTGAAAAGCTCGATTCTTCAATTGTAAATCAAAATTTTAGCATTTTGGTAATTTTTTTATAACACTTAATTAAAATTTATTTTAAATTATGAAAAATAACTAAATTAATCATAAAATGTACACAACTTTAACTTTTAATTTCTTTAAAAATTTTTAATTGTAGAAGAAATCAATATATAAGGAGCAATCATCTTTCTTTAAAAAAATTTATTTAAAAAAATGATTAATATCAAGTACAATTTGTATGCAATTAAATACAATTAAAACTTGATAAATATGAAAATGATCATTCATATCAAAGTTAGAGCAAATTGCATATCATCACATCATTACAAAAAAAGTAATTAAAAATTATACAACCCATTAAGAAGTTTCATGATATAATAAACATAAAAACTCAACAAAAGTTAGAACTATTTTTTCTTTTTCTATCTGATAATCCAAATTCTTCAAACTCTTCCATCTCTACTCTCTAGTACCAATTAATATGCAGCAAACCTGAAAAATTGAGAGGAAAGCTAAATAATAATCAAAGTGAAAGCTGAGCTATGCCAAAAATAAGAGGTTAGAGAACATCATTGTCAATGAGATATAAAGAGAAATATAAAGAGTGACATGTAGAGAACTAAGGAACTATTCATGTGCAAATAGAACTTTACTTCATCGACAATAATAATGACATTAGTTGCCAGTTTTGATGACGCAAATCCTGCAACAATATATAACCAATTGTATATTTCATATTTTTCAAAGCAACAGGAAATCAATTTATCAAAAATTGGATGCAAAGTAGAACCATAATGGGAATCTAATTACAACAAAGGAGAATAGATTTCTGAGCTCAAATTTTCTCATGTAATCGGTAGGACAATCTCTAACTCTCCGTCCTCTTCCTCCTCGTACAAAAGCAAAGATAATTGAATATTCATATGTAAGTATTTGGGATACCAAACAAATGTGTTATATCTTATATGTACCATCATTACCTTAACCCTTCCCTTCAGACCATAGTGGCAGCGAACCCAGTTGTAGCCACAAAGAAGAGCAAATTATTTAACTTAATTTAACAAAATAAATAATTATAAATATTTTTAATAGTAATTTTTTAAATATATTTATTTTTTGTCGAAATTCAACTGGAAATTCCAACGAAATTAAATCCGTCGGAAAGCCTATCTAAAAAACCGTCAGAAATTCGTCGAAAAAACCTCCGGCAATTCTGTCGAATTTATTTATGCTTGAAATTTCGCCGGAAATTAGCTATTTATTTAGTGGATATTTTATCCATTCCTTTCTCCAGCACTGAAAGTGGACTCTGAAGCTACTGTACTAATAGGAATGGATAAAATATCCACTGCCATTCTCGAAAGTACGCGTATTTGACTTGATTGTTTTTCCACCATTCTATCACATCAAACTTATGCCCTTCACTACAAAGTTCTAAGTCATCTTTCGAGTAGTTGTCTAAATCTGATTTTACATTTTTCATGCTTGTTTGGGATGAGACAAATGAGGTGAAATCATGCCAACCACTATTTTTTTTAGAGTTAGATAGATGGTGTACACTTTGCAATGAAATGGTTGTGCTCCTTGAACTCCCTCCTGCAATACCAGCATCACCATCCATTTCGGCTTCAAAACTTCTAACATATTCCTCATACATTTCATAGAGAAGACATCTCACATGCTGCACATTCCTCATGCTTTCATCTCCAGGATATATCTTAGGGTAGGCAAACTCAATTACAACAAACTTTATTCTTTGATCCATTATCACTGCACCAAAAGTCATGAGGAGATTGCATTCGCTTTAATATGTATCAAATTTATCTTTATTTACAAGATTTGTGATTTTACAGGAAAAATTAATGAAAGAATACAGTATAATATGAATCAATGATAATACAAAGTGTACACAAAAATATTTATTTCTTCGATGAAAGAAACACGGCCCATGTGAATTCGGCCCTAAATTTTGGCATTTATTTTTGCCTATCTTTATCTTTTCTCCAGTTCATTTTCCTTCAATGAATAACTTTTTTCATATATTTGCAGATAAATATTCCGCAATCAACACTAATCGTCTGACATGGAATTCCACGGACACTCTGGACATTCCATTTTGTTATATTGGTCTCAAAATATCCTTTCATGTCCTCATATAGGTTTTTTATTTGAACAAAATAAATAACACATATTAGTTGACTGACCATTTCGAGAAAAGAATTAACACACTATGCCATTGTGCTCTAACTTACGCGCGGAGTCCGGACCAGATCTACGTCTGGATTCTATGAGTGTGCGATGTAAAAGCGCAACATGCAAAATAATTGTGCTTTTACTACTTTTTACTACACACATTCATATAATCTGGACGATTCTCTCGCCGAACTCCGCACGTAATAATCTATCGGAGAGTAGGATGGCGGGAGAAATTATTCTGTGCAGAATCCGAACGTAATGATGCATCCGAACTCCAATTAAATCTAGACACATTGATTGAACACGTGCATATTAGATATGGATTTTGTATTTTTATTTTTCTCTTATCAGCCTGACCGACTGATAATATATTTTATTTATTGTTTACTTTTTAAAATAAAAAAATAGAGTATATTTAATATCCACTTGTTCAATCCATCCAATTGATACAATTTATTTGAGTCTGGACACAAAAATACATCCAAAGTCCGTTGAGAAATTATCATGTGCAGAGCCCAACATAAAGTTGTGTTTGGACTATGCGTATTTATTGAGTATTTTGCTGAGTATTTATTGTATATTTATTGAGTATTTATTGAGTATTAAATACACATTAAATACTAAAAAAATATGTAATAAAAACTCAGTAAATACTCACTAAATACACAATAATATAAATAACTATACTTTGACAACGTGTGAATATTTCATTGGAGTCCGAACATAACTCTAGGTATGAACTCCACAGTTAATAATCTCTTTAGAAAATTATTACGTAATCCAGACATAGAGTTGCGTTCGGACTCTGTGTATTTTTTTGAATATTTAATGTATATTTAAATACATAATAAATATATAAAAATAATTAATAAATACATAATAAATAATCACTGCACCAAAAGCCATGAGGAGATTGCATTCGCCTTAATATGTATCAAATTTATCTTTATTTACAAGATTTGTGATTTTACAGTAAAAATTAATCAAAGAATACCATATAATATGAATCAATGATAATACAAAGTGTACACAAAAATATTTATTTCTTCGATGAAAGAAACACGGCCCATGTGAATTCGGCCCTAAATTTTGGCATTTATTTTTGTCTATCTTTATGTTTTCTCCAATTCATTTTCCTTCAATGAATAACTTTTTTCATATATTTGCAGATAATTATTCCGCAATCAACACTAATCGTCTGACATGGAATTCCACGGACACTATGGACATTCCATTTTGTTATATTGGTCTCAAAATATCCTTTCGTGTCCTCATATAGGTTTTTTATTTGAACAAAATAAATAACACATGTTAGTTGACTGACCATTTCAAGAAAAGAATTAACACACTATGCCATTGTGCTCTAACTTATGCACGGAGTCCGGACCAGATCTGCGTCTGGATTCTATGAGTGT